TTCCTTCAAAAAGTGGTCTTTTAGACAGGTGGTCATCCAATACAGGTGGTGCTGTAATACCGTATTTCCGTACGTATTTTGCGCACTTTTTAGCCATTTCTACTTAGCAAAATTCGAGGCGAGCAAAAATAAGCGAAGTTTTTCAACGATAGGGCTATATTGGTATTGTATTTTATTCTTATTGGATAACCCGATTTACAGGAGTCGTCATGATATTATAAGACAAATTTAACACCAATATTTTAAAGATTAATACAGTAGTCGCATTTTCTCGATTATAATGCACACTTTCTTTTTTTCCGACTTAATTCGACTTGGTTGTTTTGGTTCGCTCCTCAGTTACGTGTATTATGTTATCGATATACAAGCGCGTCCTATCTCTCCATCACTTTGCTTTTGGTTTTCGTTAGTTTAATCTTACTTTAACTTTAAAAATACTGTATTTTTTAATATTTAATATTTTCTTAATTAATTAAGTACAATAAGAAAAATTATTAATTAATAATAAAACGATTTTATTTTTTTTCTCATTATACGATTTCATTACAATCGCGGAATCGAAAAAGGAAGTAAAACTGATTTTTGCATTAATGCGTTTATTGTTTTTTGAATATTTTGCCTGCGAAAATTACTTGGATATTATTTTTCTAAAAATATCGTGGAAATAAGGTAGGTTGATACAGAAACTATTTATCGCACGTGTACTGTATATGAGCTTCAAAATAAATAAATAAAAATAGATTTTATCAAACGATGAGATCAGCCGATTAATTGTATCGTGTACAATATTTTACACCCCCAAGGAAAATACTGTAGGTTTACAGTAAAATAAATTTTGTTTTCCCACAGTTAAACTTCGCCGCTAATTGCTGTTGCGATAACTTTAATATGATCTTCTAACGACAGCACTTTGCATTTCGGACATTTTCCAGCAAACTGAAATGAATTTCCTTTGTTGCTAGACTAATTTATTAACACCTGCACCTAATTTCAAGGGTGGGAGAAGTGCCCTGGATGGGTTCAAACGAGAGTTTAGACTAACTCATTATATTAGGAAATAGAAACATTGTTGAGATGGGTTCTTACAATAGTTTAGGCCAGATACATTCGCAAAAGTGGTCGCTTATTACAGGTGTTGTATGTTGTTTCGGACCAAAAATCAATGCCCGCAGTCGCGTTACACAGGTGGTCGTTTAATACAGGTAACTTATACGAAGACTCTATGGATAAACTATTCCGTGCCAAAAATTTTTGCCCATTTTGACAGGTGCCCGTCGAATGCAGGTGGTCGCCTAAGCAGTTTTCACTGTATATTGTAATTTTACTTACTGTTATCACACGAAGAAATTTTGACAATAATAGGAACTTTCAATTTTTTATTTTGATTATTCTGCTGTTTTGTTTTAGAAGATAATTTTCTTGAAGATGCTTAATAAAATTTAAAATTATAAAAAGCAATTAATATATGTTTTTTTTTTTTTTTTTATTGATTATTTAAAATGATATGAATTATTACATCTTGATACTTCCATTACATTATAAGAAATTTATTTATTTTAATCAAGAACAAACTAAGCTAATAATTAACAAGAGTTGATAATTATATCAACAGTTAGAAATCAGGACAATCCTTAGATTTCAGGAATCTATGCTTTAAAGTTTAACATTTTTATTAATAGATAATCTGAATTACTTTCATTATAAATAGATATAAAAAGCATTTACAGAAGATAAACAAATTAAAGAAAAAAAAATACTTAAAATTATATTTTATAAGTTAGAAGCTATAATTATAAAATTTATAAAATGGCTACTATTAAAAATCAACCAAAAATAAAAGCAAATTATAAAAATGTATGAATCCTAATAAGTAATAAAATTTTCAGAAACAAGGACACTATCAGCTTTTTTAAGAACAAAAACTTTTAATATATTAACTGTTGGCTTAGATACATTTGTATGTTGGCAACTAAATTTGTATTTTCTAATTTTATCTGGTGCTAAATGTCTATTATTTCTATGTGAAAAGATTATATTTTTCAGTAATATCACTATAACTTCTTTTTATGCAAAATCTTTCTTATCTTAAGAAATGTATAAAATCTTATTAATAATAATAAATAGCAAGCAATAATAGCGCTTTATTTTTTTCAGTGAAAAACAAGCATCTTTTATAACAGATAAACTATTTGTTTTCCTAAATATTTTTAGTATAGTTACTATCCACAAAGTAGTTAAGTATCAGAATTTTAGTCATAAAAATCATGAAATTAATTGTTGTTTATTAAAATTAATAAAATTGTATAGATGAAAAATATAACAAACGTGTTTATAACAAAAGTTAAAATTCTAGATTGAGTTTTCTTTTAATGCAGTCTGAAATATTTATGGAATTTTTATTGTTAAGTGTTATTATTTTATTGTTAATTAATAATTTCTTTTATGTATCTGTATTTAACAAATGTCATTGGTGTATAATGTCACAAATAGTAACAGTTTTATGAATATAGTTTAATTTGAAATATCTTTAATTGTAAAAATTATCAACTATTAACAATTTAATGTCCAAAACTTAATGTAATAAAAATTAAATATAACTAGACATAAAATTTGTCTTATTATCTCAGAAGATTGGTTGTTAGAAATACAAGATATCTAAGAGAATTCCTTCTGTTATATAAATAACTAGCAGGTGGGCCTGGCGTTGCTCGGGCAAAAGTAACGATAGCGAAGATTAAGATTATTACGTTATAGTCAACCTTACCCGTTTTCACAGAATGCAAAAATTGGATCCCCCGTTTCCAGACTAATTAGAAAATTTTTACATGGGTCTAAAAATATCTTCAATTTCCTGGAAAAACGAAAACCAACTGTACTTTCTCTTAAAACGTCGCTTTCTCTTAACAATTCCATTGTTACGTAACACGTTCATTGTTGACACTTCCATTGTTGACACTTCCATTGTTAACACTTTCATTGTTACTTAACACTTCTATTGTTGATAAAAGTGTTAAGCTTAATCCTGTCCCTCTCCCCCCAGGGGGGCATTTCGAAAAATCCCTTCTTAGTGTGCGTTTTCGTGACGTACCCTGTGTAACAAATTTCAGCTTCCAACTCCTAACCGTTTGGGCTCTGCACTGATTATTATTATTATCAACTCGTCTCGATTATATATATAGATTACAGAGCTTAAATGTATTTTATCTATATTTGTGTATTGTCATTAGTTAAGATATTACCAGGGCTGTGGAGTCGGAGTCATGGAGTTTTGGTGTTTTAACCGAAGTCAGAGTCATCAAAAAATCCGTCGACTCCGACTCCTTTTTACTTACCAACTTGTTATGCATATAAAATGAACAAGTATTGGAATCGTGTCAAATTTGACCCTCCAAGTTTCTTTTGCAAAGCTATACGTTTGGAGACCTTCCAAACCCCTCAAAAAAGTCAATAAAGGGGAAAAATTCACACGCGTGTGTGCATTGGTGTCTAATTTGTTTAATTTCTTTATTTTCTGTTCTGAGATATTAAACAATATCTCAGAATGGGTAAAGTTTAAGAAACGAAATGTGACACTGTAGCTTGCATATAAAGGGGCATTAATACTATTAAATTTTAGTTCTTAATTAAAGGTTGACAGAGTGAAGACATAAAAGTGGTCAAGTATCATATCTCTTAATGAATATTTTACTCATTATTAGCGTTCAAAATTTAAAAAAATAAAATAAAACTCGTCTCTACCCTCAAAGTAAGCTTTTTTTGCCATTTTATAATAGTATAGTAAAACCCATTAAGATGTCCTTGTCTAAGATGTTAGAATGTATATGGGGACATGATTTAGTTCAACCACTTTGACACTTAACAACTAACTCCTGTGTTAAACCATCTAACTCCTATTCTGACCTCTCTGAGCACAGAAATTATTAGGCTTCAAACAGGGTGAACAAAATCATGCCCCCCCCATATACAGTCTAACATCCACACATATAGAAAAAACCTCGAATCTTTTGCATAACTTGAAATTTCAAGATGTCCTGAGTCCAAAATTGTAAAAATTTGGGAGGGGTCATTTTTTGACTGAGCACTACATGTTTCCTCTGTTAAATATATGTGAGATCCGGAAGGCCCTAGGCCTCATTTAATAATTTTTATTAAATATGCTTAAATAATGTCACCAAATAATACTTCGTTTTGGTGAGAAAAATATTGTTTTAGACGTGGGAAAAATTAGATGACAAATGTTATTTCCTTTCATCGAGGAGAACATCCGCTGTTTTTCCCATATCTGGTTAAAAATCTCGCTCCGATGGGAAATGGTTACCCCTCATTCATCCCCCTCTCATCCGTTCTCACGAAAGAGTTACTATACGATGATTGGACGAAGTTTGGAAATAAAAGGAGAAATTAGTCATAATTCGGGGAGTCCTCCGACCGATTTGAAAGTGTCCAGACTCCACATACGTTTCCTCCTGATGGCCAACGCCCATAACGGAGTCCGATAGACTAAGTCCCGAGTCTACACTTAGAAGAAGTGATATCTTTATATTTTGTGCACGAATTAATCTCCCATACGAAAGGAAGATGAACCCTATCTACAAGGTGTCCTATATCTACAGAAACGAAGACGACAACTAACAGGTCGTATGTTTAGAATCATTTTGTGAGCTCTCTCTCGATCGCGCATTAGCATAGATTTAGTCGTAACCTTTAACTTGTCATATAATCGTTGTTATTGATTTTCTGTATTCGTTGTTTGGATTTATTAAATTTTACTTATGTTTATTATATAAGAATGTCTCCTCAATTCATTCCGAATCAGATCGTTATCGCGTGTTTGTCCGCGCCTCTATAAATTGACAAACTGGTGTCGGGAACCTGACGAAGGAAGAAGGTGAATTCGCTATCACCAACTTCCGCTCTAAATTATAATATAACCGTAAAGCCCTCCACACTCGTTCCCTACGACGGGGAAAGGCCGTTCTTTGGACGACTGAGAGCTGGTCTTACCGACTAGTGCCTGTAAGTGTTACTTGAGTACTACTTACTCCGTAACCTTGGCTACTTTCACATATAACAGCTGGAAAAGTAAAATTATTGAATACATATTTATATATTACTTTTTTTTTTTTTAAACTCTTTCTGCCCTGTGGGCACTAAGAGGGCCTCTTTTTGCAAGCCCATTATGGGTTCGGCCAGGCCCACAATGGGGCTACCAGGTGGTGAGGGACAGGGCCCGACATATCTGAATGAACCACCCCCGAAAAATTCCTGGGGATTTTTCAACCCGTTCGGATTCGAACCCAGGTTCCCCAGAGCAGTAGGCTGCCATCCAGCCACTTATGGGAATTTCTGGGTCTCTTTTGATAACAAATCCGGCCCTGGTTGGAGTCAGATTCAGAGTTGGAGTCGGATGGTAAGGAAAAGTCAGAGTCCGAAGATTTTTACATGACTCCACAGCCCTGGATATTACATTTATAAAATTAGACAACCAAAGCCTACTCAGCAGAAAATAATAATATAATCCACACCTAATCACTCGCTGAGAGATTTATTATTAAAACAACAAACGTTTTCAATCCAATCAATGGATCATCATCAGGCTAAAATGGAACACTTCAAAATAGAAGTTCTGTTTTGAAGTGTTCTATTTTAGCCTGATGATGATCCATTGATTGGATTGAAAATGTTTGTTGTTTTAATAATAAATCTCTCAGCGAGTGATTAGGTGTGGATTATATTATAAAATTAGAATAACAAACCCAAAAAGAATTTTTTTTACTTACGCTATAATTATATAAACTAAAATTATTATTAATTATGCTTCAATTGCTGAATTAAAAATTATGGTGAAAACACTTACTTTCAGATCTTTTAGTTGAATTTTTCTTCAAAGTTTCAGAATTTTGTTTACTTTGATTATTTTTGATTTGCTCTGCTTCTAAATCATTGTCTTCTATAACTTTTTTGAAATCGGAATTTAATTTTGTAGTTCTTAATTCATCTGACTGACATTTAAATAAAGATTTCTCTTCATCTTTATCTTTATTCATACAAGATATTGGTAATATGTCCTTTATTACAGATGATTTCATTTTATTCATATTAACCACATTCCTTTTGTTTTTGAAATTTGTTAAAGATGATTCAACTTTAAGTTCTTTGTTTTCATTACTTTTAAATTGAAAATTCTGTTCCTGAAATAAACTTTACTTTTCATTATTGATCAATACTAATTTAAAAAATATAATTATATATTCTTATGTATAACTATTTCAATTATAAATTTTTAACAAAAACAAAAAATTAACTTTAACAGAAATTCTGGAATTTAAATATAAATTGAAATAATTTTAATTTTTTTCATTATATAATAATGCATTTATAGCATTTTTACCAAATCAAGGATTTAAATACTATTCTGAATAAAAATTTTTTCATAGAATTGTTCTTTAAGTAATGGAATTGTAGTTACTGGTTATGGAACTGTACTTATTCTTTATTATTAAATAAATAAAATTTAAATTACTTAATAAAAGATAAATTTATTTTTAAATAGAACTTATTACTGAAAGGTAATTTTATTTGTTTTTGTTTGCTTCAATCTCTTAAAATATTGTCCTAATAATTTATGTTATCAATTCTTCAAAATTTATTTCATAAATATTTACAATGACCTACTTTAATTTAAATTCAATATGAAGATAAGATTATTTTAATACTTTCAAGTGCATATGTTCATTTTCAGATTTGTTGTTGTAATTGTTTCAATTCAAATGAAATTATTACAAAGAATTGCTTTTAGCCCTTGGTATAATTAAATTAATTAAATATGTACAAATGTGAGGTAGATAATAATAAGGACTTATTAATTTTTAATGTACACCCCTTTTGTTTTATCAAATGTACTACATTGATACCCGAGTTTTTGTGCTTATTATTATTTGTGTGATAAGTCCTTATTATTATATACCCCACAGTAGTATATTAGTAGATATTTAATTAATTCAATTCAAATCGTTACATTTTAAATTTAAAATCAAAATTGCTACAGCAATCATCTTGCTTTCAATTCTTTTTTTTATCATTAAAATTATAATATATAGTTAATACTATAAAATTATAAATTATTATTGAAAACAAAAAATTACTTAATATCAAACTAAATTTTAAAACCAAAATTGTAGCTGAGTTTAATCTAATTAATTTGACTTTTAAACTAGACTGGATGGATATTAAAAAGTTTAAATCAAATGTTTTACTGATACTTTGAACTTTTTGATTTTAGGTTAATTTTGCTTTGAATAAAATTTTATAGCATTGATTATTTTCACTGTATGTTATTCATATAATTTTTTAAAAATTAATAATTAAAAATATTAACATAAATCATTATATTTTTTATTTTTGAATTTATTTAAAAGTGAATCATAATTAATATTTACTATTATAATACTATGAAATTATATTTAGCTGATATTTTGGTGTTTATGTTTAAAGACAAAGGTCTTTATCAGAGTATACTTTCTAGAGATTTTCATTTCTAACAAAAATTTAATTGTGAAATAAACACAAATGAATCTAGAGTGAAGGTGACAGTCCCTATTGCCCTCTAATAGGAGATTCATTACTTTTTAGAAGTGATGCTACATTTTAATCTTTTTATCATTACTTTTCAATTTCATTACATTTTTATGTTGTTACAACTTACAATTTATTTTAAGTAATTATTTTAAAACTATAAAACTCCTAGATCCTCCTTTGGCAAGAAATATGGCATTATTTCTAAAATACATCTTAATGTGTTTAAATCCTAATTTTCAAGAGACAAAAACAAAATTTTTATAATCATTCTTCATTCATATTTTAAATCCATATACAATATGTATAAACAGTACTCAAATGACAATAAGTTCATAAAAATATGTTTGAATATGTATAGCAGCCAGAATTTCAAATCAATAAGTCAATAAATTGAAATTCAAGTTCGGCAATGATATCACCAGCCTAATGCTTTCAAAATTTTGCTTGTACATAAAACTAAAGGATTCCTTTCAAAATTCAATAGATAAAAATATTACATCTATAGATAAAAACGTTTAAGACATAATTTTCCTCTAATAAAATAACATTTTATATTTCTTGCTTGCATATCTGAATTCATTAATTTTGAAACAAATAAAAGAAATACGGGAAATCCTTGTTAATTCTTACTTGGATAGTTTGAAATCCCATTTGTTCATAACTGTACTATTTGTTCCAGACAGTGATATAAAGATTTACATGTTAAGAAATTTCAAAATATGGCTACTTTAAAATTTGAAGTGAAAATTCTGTACAAACTGTGATATGCATATGTTAACTCATTCATTTATTTATTGCTCTCTTATAATAAGGAGGCACTTTGATCTAGACTAAGAATAACTCTAATCTGGTCAATATGGATTTGCTTTTACAATAACATATTTTTGGGTGTCACCGTACCCCTGAACTATTCTATTTTCTCTTTTCTCATATAATATGGCTGGATTTTCGGATTACAGTATTGGATTATAAATAGCAGATTAAGATATTTGTAGGATTCTAGACAGCTAGATTTGAACTACTTACTACTTTCTGAGCCACTTTAAAAATAATTTGAACTACATTCTGAGGAATTCTGCTTTGTAAAACCTATGTGGCAACCTGTAAAGTTTTCACCATACACTTGCTGTTTATCTGCAGTTTATTTATATTATTACTAGCTGTTACCCATGACTTCGATCGTGCGGATTTTTGCAAGCAAACCCCATTTATATTCAGTATTTCAACAACCATAGTAATTGTTATATAACACCTACCGCTGAGAGTAATGAGAATTGCTGAGATTCAAAAGAACTGTTTTCAATTTGATCACTTTTCTGGAACGTTTACAATTGTTCTATAATCAAACCAATATGCAATAACAAATTCGAATTTAAAATGGTTCGAATATTTGGTTAAAAAATTGAAATATATAAAAATATTTATAACAATGTTATTAATTTAATATATCTAAGTACTCAACAAAGACTAAATGTAATTGAAAACAAAAAATTGCATCTAAAATAGTAAAGTAGAAGCCATTCTTCAGGTTAAGCCTTAATCATCTCCCTCTCCCCCACGGGGGGAGTAATTTCCAAAAATCCCTTCTTAGTGTGCGTTTTTCATGATGTACCCTAACTGTGTACAAAATTTCACCTCTTTAGGTTCAGCGGTTTGCTCTGGGCAATGATGAATCATTCACTCAGTCAATCACTCAGTCAGGACAAGTAATTTTATATACAGTAGAGCGTCAATTTTCCGAAAGCCAATCATCCGAAACGTCAATCATCCGAAAGAATTCCAGTCGGCAAATTTAAATCTTTCGCCAGTGCTATGGCGCTTCAATCTTTGGCTACGTCTTGGGCTACTCTAATATTTTGCATTTTTGATACTAAATTAACATCTAAAGTATAATTTTTTTTAATATTTTTTTATTTTTCAATATATTTATTTTGTTTGTACAAAATAAAAAAATAATTTGTAACGATACAATAGTCTTTGTTAGGCTTAACATCGACGAAAATTCAACGCGAAGCAACACGCAACAGAGAAAAATTTTGACATTGGATACGTTAAACTATTTTTTCGTACATAAATCAGTTATCCGAAATATCAGTTATCCGGACAACCCCAGTAACCAATTGATTCGGAAAAATTGACGCTCTACTGTATTTAGATTAATTAATGAAAATAGTGTTCTGTATTTGAAGCTGTATTCCGTTTTCTTAATAAAGTACATCAATTACATGGCATTTGGCATATTGTACAGAAATGTATAAGTCTCAGATAATTTGAAATTTAATAATTCAAAGTCAGTTATTTTGTCCCTTGAATTTTGAACTAACAAGAATTTCAATTATAGTTGATATGTATAGAAATTCATTATAATAAAATCTCTCTAGAGGAAATTTGAACATTAGTTAATTATTATTAACTAAATTATTTATTATTAATCTAGTTTGAGAACAGAAATTTCAGAATAAATCTCTCATTTTTCAAACCAGTTTATTTATATTTAAATATAGATATTAAAAAATATATTTAGTTAAAACAAATTTTCAAAATTTGGTCTTACTTTTTCAATTTGAATTCTTTCTAAAAGCAAGACTGGTGACAAAACAACAGAGCTCTTTTGTAATGTTCTGCTTTCTAATCCTATACTCTCTTCATTCTTAGTCTTTTCCATTTGAAACAATGTATTTTCAGCTGAATTCAGCTCACATTGAGAATTATTTACTATTTCACCCTATTATTTTAATTAAACAATTAATAAAATTAATTTTATATTAAAAAAATAAACATTATAATAATTTATGTTCTATAATTTTACTTTAAAATTTTAAGCATCAATCTTTAAAATTTTATTAATGCATCAATATTACTTAAAAAATGAAATGATATAAAATCAAAATAATCTCTGATAGTTTTATGTTATTTTTTAATTTTCACATTATTATTACAGTTCATGTAGTTCTTCTAGCTTGTAAAGACCAGTTACACTAATATTGGTTTAAACAGCTTTAGTAATTGATTTATTATTTATTATTAAATAATCTAGTGAAAAGCAAATGATGACCATTGCAAATTGCCTCAGATACAAAGCATATTTTTCAAAGAAAGTTTTAGTAATGCAAAGATGGTTCAAAAGATTTTTATATTGCAGTCATAATAAAGTCAAAGGTTTAACAGTCAGATGACTGAGGCAATTAAGGCTTCATCCTATTGCTCTGAGAACCTGAAGTTGAATCTGGGTAAACACTTCACCAAAATATTTCACAGGCTGTCTATCCTGGATATGTTGGGCCTCATCTTTCTCCACCTTTCCATTGCTATTGTTGGCTTGTCTAAACTCTTCACAGACATAAATAAAAGCTCTCAGTTCCCACAGAATGGGGAGAGGGGAAGAGAGAGAATGGAGTCAAAATTTTCAAATGTCTTAATAAAGTTTTACTGGCATTCAAAAGTATTCTCCCTGAACAAGTATGCAGCATTGTAACTTGATGAACCAACAACTATCAAAGTTGTTATGTCATTCAAAACCACCACTCAAAAACTGGGTAAACTGGGTAAACTTGATACAAGGCTACAAAAAAATCAAATTACTAGCAAAAAACATAGTACAGTTGTCCCTCTATAGTCCGACGTTTTTTAATCTGACATGCTCAGTAGTCCGACACACCTCCCGTCAAGGTACCCGTCCCCATTACGTGTCTGCTTGCACAGAAGCATGTCGCGATGTGAATCTCCCCATCCAATTTTTACACGATGACACACATTTTGTGTGTTTTATGTGAGCAGTTCTGTTTGAACGTAGAGTTCGAAGTTGGAGTAGAGAATATTGTAAGTTACTGCTAGCAAAACAATGCGAAATATGTAATTATTTTCGGTAATCCAGACACTTTTGGTAATCTGACACACCTTTGGTCCCATATCTGTCTGATTATCAAGGGACAACTGTACTTTCCAATTTTTTCTGCTGGTTATATGGTTTTTTTTTAGCTTTGTACCACCATTATAAATTTATAACTTTCTTAATGTTATTAATCCTTGAAAATGGCTTTCCAACAAGCTATTTTGATTGTTTCAAAAAATCTAAAAAGTCACATAGTAATTGAGAAAAACATTTCTGTAATTTTTTCCTGTTGAAAGTATATCTTGGCTTTCAATANATATAGTTAATACTATAAAATTATAAATTATTATTGAAAACAAAAAATTACTTAATATCAAACTAAATTTTAAAACCAAAATTGTAGCTGAGTTTAATCTAATTAATTTGACTTTTAAACTAGACTGGATGGATATTAAAAAGTTTAAATCAAATGTTTTACTGATACTTTGAACTTTTTGATTTTAGGTTAATTTTGCTTTGAATAAAATTTTATAGCATTGATTATTTTCACTGTATGTTATTCATATAATTTTTTAAAAATTAATAATTAAAAATATTAACATAAATCATTATATTTTTTATTTTTGAATTTATTTAAAAGTGAATCATAATTAATATTTACTATTATAATACTATGAAATTATATTTAGCTGATATTTTGGTGTTTATGTTTAAAGACAAAGGTCTTTATCAGAGTATACTTTCTAGAGATTTTCATTTCTAACAAAAATTTAATTGTGAAATAAACACAAATGAATCTAGAGTGAAGGTGACAGTCCCTATTGCCCTCTAATAGGAGATTCATTACTTTTTAGAAGTGATGCTACATTTTAATCTTTTTATCATTACTTTTCAATTTCATTACATTTTTATGTTGTTACAACTTACAATTTATTTTAAGTAATTATTTTAAAACTATAAAACTCCTAGATCCTCCTTTGGCAAGAAATATGGCATTATTTCTAAAATACATCTTAATGTGTTTAAATCCTAATTTTCAAGAGACAAAAACAAAATTTTTATAATCATTCTTCATTCATATTTTAAATCCATATACAATATGTATAAACAGTACTCAAATGACAATAAGTTCATAAAAATATGTTTGAATATGTATAGCAGCCAGAATTTCAAATCAATAAGTCAATAAATTGAAATTCAAGTTCGGCAATGATATCACCAGCCTAATGCTTTCAAAATTTTGCTTGTACATAAAACTAAAGGATTCCTTTCAAAATTCAATAGATAAAAATATTACATCTATAGATAAAAACGTTTAAGACATAATTTTCCTCTAATAAAATAACATTTTATATTTCTTGCTTGCATATCTGAATTCATTAATTTTGAAACAAATAAAAGAAATACGGGAAATCCTTGTTAATTCTTACTTGGATAGTTTGAAATCCCATTTGTTCATAACTGTACTATTTGTTCCAGACAGTGATATAAAGATTTACATGTTAAGAAATTTCAAAATATGGCTACTTTAAAATTTGAAGTGAAAATTCTGTACAAACTGTGATATGCATATGTTAACTCATTCATTTATTTATTGCTCTCTTATAATAAGGAGGCACTTTGATCTAGACTAAGAATAACTCTAATCTGGTCAATATGGATTTGCTTTTACAATAACATATTTTTGGGTGTCACCGTACCCCTGAACTATTCTATTTTCTCTTTTCTCATATAATATGGCTGGATTTTCGGATTACAGTATTGGATTATAAATAGCAGATTAAGATATTTGTAGGATTCTAGACAGCTAGATTTGAACTACTTACTACTTTCTGAGCCACTTTAAAAATAATTTGAACTACATTCTGAGGAATTCTGCTTTGTAAAACCTATGTGGCAACCTGTAAAGTTTTCACCATACACTTGCTGTTTATCTGCAGTTTATTTATATTATTACTAGCTGTTACCCATGACTTCGATCGTGCGGATTTTTGCAAGCAAACCCCATTTATATTCAGTATTTCAACAACCATAGTAATTGTTATATAACACCTACCGCTGAGAGTAATGAGAATTGCTGAGATTCAAAAGAACTGTTTTCAATTTGATCACTTTTCTGGAACGTTTACAATTGTTCTATAATCAAACCAATATGCAATAACAAATTCGAATTTAAAATGGTTCGAATATTTGGTTAAAAAATTGAAATATATAAAAATATTTATAACAATGTTATTAATTTAATATATCTAAGTACTCAACAAAGACTAAATGTAATTGAAAACAAAAAATTGCATCTAAAATAGTAAAGTAGAAGCCATTCTTCAGGTTAAGCCTTAATCATCTCCCTCTCCCCCACGGGGGGAGTAATTTCCAAAAATCCCTTCTTAGTGTGCGTTTTTCATGATGTACCCTAACTGTGTACAAAATTTCACCTCTTTAGGTTCAGCGGTTTGCTCTGGGCAATGATGAATCATTCACTCAGTCAATCACTCAGTCAGGACAAGTAATTTTATATACAGTAGAGCGTCAATTTTCCGAAAGCCAATCATCCGAAACGTCAATCATCCGAAAGAATTCCAGTCGGCAAATTTAAATCTTTCGCCAGTGCTATGGCGCTTCAATCTTTGGCTACGTCTTGGGCTACTCTAATATTTTGCATTTTTGATACTAAATTAACATCTAAAGTATAATTTTTTTTAATATTTTTTTATTTTTCAATATATTTATTTTGTTTGTACAAAATAAAAAAATAATTTGTAACGATACAATAGTCTTTGTTAGGCTTAACATCGACGAAAATTCAACGCGAAGCAACACGCAACAGAGAAAAATTTTGACATTGGATACGTTAAACTATTTTTTCGTACATAAATCAGTTATCCGAAATATCAGTTATCCGGACAACCCCAGTAACCAATTGATTCGGAAAAATTGACGCTCTACTGTATTTAGATTAATTAATGAAAATAGTGTTCTGTATTTGAAGCTGTATTCCGTTTTCTTAATAAAGTACATCAATTACATGGCATTTGGCATATTGTACAGAAATGTATAAGTCTCAGATAATTTGAAATTTAATAATTCAAAGTCAGTTATTTTGTCCCTTGAATTTTGAACTAACAAGAATTTCAATTATAGTTGATATGTATAGAAATTCATTATAATAAAATCTCTCTAGAGGAAATTTGAACATTAGTTAATTATTATTAACTAAATTATTTATTATTAATCTAGTTTGAGAACAGAAATTTCAGAATAAATCTCTCATTTTTCAAACCAGTTTATTTATATTTAAATATAGATATTAAAAAATATATTTAGTTAAAACAAATTTTCAAAATTTGGTCTTACTTTTTCAATTTGAATTCTTTCTAAAAGCAAGACTGGTGACAAAACAACAGAGCTCTTTTGTAATGTTCTGCTTTCTAATCCTATACTCTCTTCATTCTTAGTCTTTTCCATTTGAAACAATGTATTTTCAGCTGAATTCAGCTCACATTGAGAATTATTTACTATTTCACCCTATTATTTTAATTAAACAATTAATAAAATTAATTTTATATTAAAAAAATAAACATTATAATAATTTATGTTCTATAATTTTACTTTAAAATTTTAAGCATCAATCTTTAAAATTTTATTAATGCATCAATATTACTTAAAAAATGAAATGATATAAAATCAAAATAATCTCTGATAGTTTTATGTTATTTTTTAATTTTCACATTATTATTACAGTTCATGTAGTTCTTCTAGCTTGTAAAGACCAGTTACACTAATATTGGTTTAAACAGCTTTAGTAATTGATTTATTATTTATTATTAAATAATCTAGTGAAAAGCAAATGATGACCATTGCAAATTGCCTCAGATACAAAGCATATTTTTCAAAGAAAGTTTTAGTAATGCAAAGATGGTTCAAAAGATTTTTATATTGCAGTCATAATAAAGTCAAAGGTTTAACAGTCAGATGACTGAGGCAATTAAGGCTTCATCCTATTGCTCTGAGAACCTGAAGTTGAATCTGGGTAAACACTTCACCAAAATATTTCACAGGCTGTCTATCCTGGATATGTTGGGCCTCATCTTTCTCCACCTTTCCATTGCTATTGTTGGCTTGTCTAAACTCTTCACAGACATAAATAAAAGCTCTCAGTTCCCACAGAATGGGGAGAGGGGAAGAGAGAGAATGGAGTCAAAATTTTCAAATGTCTTAATAAAGTTTTACTGGCATTCAAAAGTATTCTCCCTGAACAAGTATGCAGCATTGTAACTTGATGAACCAACAACTATCAAAGTTGTTATGTCATTCAAAACCACCACTCAAAAACTGGGTAAACTGGGTAAACTTGATACAAGGCTACAAAAAAATCAAATTACTAGCAAAAAACATAGTACAGTTGTCCCTCTATAGTCCGACGTTTTTTAATCTGACATGCTCAGTAGTCCGACACACCTCCCGTCAAGGTACCCGTCCCCGTTACGTGTCTGCTTGCACAGCATGTCGCGATGTGAATCTCCCCATCCAATTTTTACACGATGACACACATTTTGTGTGTTTTATGTGAGCAGTTCTGTTTGAACAGTTGGAGTAGAGAATATTGTAAGTTACTGCTAGCAAAACAATGCGAAATATGTAATTATTTTCGGTAATCCAGACACTTTTGGTAATCTGACACACCTTTGGTCCCATATCTGTCTGATTATCAAGGGACAACTGTACTTTCCAATTTTTTCTGCTGGTTATATGGTTTTTTTTTAGCTTTGTACCACCATTATAAATTTATAACTTTCTTAATGTTATTAATCCTTGAAAATGGCTTTCCAACAAGCTATTTTGATTGTTTCAAAAAATCTAAAAAGTCACATAGTAATTGAGAAAAACATTTCTGTAATTTTTTCCTGTTGAAAGTATATCTTGGCTTTCAATATTTTGTGTGGACAGGTTTTGTTGCATCACTCCGGAGGTTTTTGTTCTTAGCCACCATTCCTTGAATTCTTTAACAAACTTAGATAAAATGTTGTTCTTGTAGCAATTTCAAGTGAATGTTGTCTTCTTAGGAATCATATCAATAGTCAACAGTCATTTTGAACTAAAAACAATTGTAAGCATTCTTTTTCAGGATTAGAAATGTTAAGAGTTTAAAGATTTTAAAGATGTAGTTCATAATTCTCTAGGAAGTTCATCTTTGGCAAACCAAACCAAATGCAGTTGTCAGCCTATTTGGGAGTTATAATAATAATAAAACCAACTCATCCTTAGTAACATTAGTTGAAGTTACCTTGAATTATTTGGTTGAAATAAATAAGCGTTTGCAAGATTTCACAATATTTCACCAAATTTGTTGTTTTTCCCTATGCAAACAACCTTCCAATACTGAAAATTCAATCACTGATTGCTGCTTTGTACAAAACAAGGAAGATAAGTTCATGTTTAAACTTAACTGTTATGCAATGATGCAACACAAAAAACAGACCTTTCATATACAAATTAGATTCTTGTGGAAAAAACTCCACCATACCTTTGAAATGCAGTCTATTTTAAACACTTATCAAACGTTTTCAGTCAGATTAACAGACCTTCTTCAGGATCGAACTATCAGAATTTAAATTTGCAAAACGGAAATTCCAAAATGCACGTTCTATAATCTTCTCAATTGCGCATGCCCATTATTGTAATTTTAATGTCGCCGCTTTCCATGCCGATGCTATTTTGTTTGATTCACGAAAATTTATATTTTGCCCTTTTTCTTTGCACTTGTAATGTGCCAGGCTTCTGCATACTTTAGATGTCTTCTATTTTCCACTTTTTGTTCCATTTGATTTCGATCTCTGTTGGATCTGCGATCACATAATTAGCCAAAGCCGTGATTGGTTGTTTAAATCTTACATTCTTTTCGTGCTCCTTCAATCTTTCATTTAATGAACTAGTGGAAAAAGTGGAAAATTAGAAGACATCTAAAGTATGCAGAAGCCTGGCACATTACAAGTGCAAAGAAAAAGGGCAAAATATAAATTTTCGTGAATCAAACAAAATAGCATCGGCATGGAAAGTGGTGACATTAAAATTACAATAATGGGCATGCGCAATTGAGAAGATTATAAAACGTGCATTTTGGTATTTCCATTTTGCAAATTTAAATTCTGATAGTTCGATCCTGAAGAAGGTCTGTTAATCTGACTGAAAACGTTTGATAAGTGTTTAAAATAAACTGCATTTTAAAGGTATGGTGGAGTTTTTTAAATAATAATGCAGTTAGAGATATAATAGATTCTTGTGGCTACTAAATAATGGTGATCAGTATTTCTACTTTTGCATTTTGCATATTGCTGCAGTATGAGACCTTATTTGTCAATCAACTCTCATATTAAGTTTAAAAGTCATATTATTTGACTAAAATTTACAATATTGAGTTTAACTGAAAAGAAATGGAATAAGAGACCCAAGATTACATAGTTCTCTTATTCATTTATTCATTTTTTTATTTCCTTACGTAGGTTTTATATAATAAGGGACTCCCATAAAACAAACACATTTTCCATTATTCTTTGCTAATTTATTAACATATTTCATAAATGGCACTAATTTTCAACATGGTGGTTTCCATGTAAACTGTATTCAGCTTTATATATAAAAGATTTTTTTTTATTAAAATAATATATATTCTTCTAATAGTGAGAATGAAATTAGAAGCAAATGGAAAACTAAAGAAATGAAAATGCTGTGTCATAATTCAAGTTTTTGGAAAAATAATGAAAGAAAGCATCAAAAACTTAGGGAAACTTTATGTTGCTTGTGTCAGAAAGAAGGTTCCTAAAAAATAAATTTAAGCAAATTACATCTTGTTGTAAAAAGAAATGCTTCAATTTATTAAGAACTCCTACATTCCAAAATCTATGAAAGACAAATGCCTGCTTAGAGAAGCATGTTTCATGAAATTATGAAACATATAATAAATCAAAGTAAAATATAATATTGTCCCAAACATGCATATAAATGCATGAACCTCAGAAGCATAAAAAGAACATGCATGAACCTCAGAAGAATAAAAAGTTTGCAAAACTAAACAATGAAAAGTAAACTGGACATACTAGCTATTAGAAAGCAAACTGAAAATTATAATTTGTGGGGACATGTTTTGTGAATAGAGCTTAAAAGAAAACAAGCTGGGGAGATGTGTAGATGCAATAAGGTAACAGTACTAAAGAGAAATGAAACCAAGCATAGTTAGTTCTAAGTAAGCTGGGAGACAGCTAGAGATATGAATAATATAAATCAGTGAAACAATTGCCACAATAATGAATTAAGCCAGTAGACATCTTTAATAACACAAAAACAGGCGACATCTTTCTTGTTCATAATTAAAGAAAAATATATAGAAGAAAAAGGCAACTTTGCTTTTATGGATACAGCTTTATGCTTTATGGAAAATGGAACCTAACTGAAAATAGTTTATTTAATAAACGAAAACCTTTTCGTTAATATATATATATAGAAATAATAATAAACAGCAGCTTCTTTATTCCTCTGAAAATAAATAAATTACAAGTTTTTGTCAATTTCTGAAAAATTAATTTTTCACCTAGACACCTTTTTCTCCATTCAATGCTTCAATTAAGGAAAAAAATAATTTTTAAAAAGTGTTGTTGTTTATTAATTAGTTATATTTGATAATATTTTTCACTAATAAAAAATATTAACATTTGGATCAAAAATATAAGAACTGAATCAAATCTAATTGTTAAAACATAAAACAGTTCATGTTCATAAAATTTTTTCTATGTTATTTTAACGTTTATATCTCAACATGTTCTAAAAACTGTCAATAAATTTAAATGCTCTGGATATGAATGACCTACAGATATTAGCTAATGTCTAAAAATAATAAATGCAATTTTTTCTGAAAAGCATTAGTCAAATACTAGTATTCATTTATATAGTTTAATTTTTAAAAACTAGTTATTGAAATTTCAGCTTAAATTTGATCAAAAACTTTGCCACAAAAGCTTTTGTAACTTTTCTTCACTTCTTATATTTCAATATTTATTACAGAATAACCATAATTATCTCAAGCAAATGTGTAAGTAAATATTACCTTGTTGTACAGGCAAATAAATTTTGTAATGTATGTTATTGTTTTAAACTTTCTTTTATGAATTACAGTATTTTCTTATACTGTAATTCACACAAGTTTAAAACAATAACATAAATTACAAAATGTATTTATTTCTCTTACTTTTTATCATATAACTTCAATACCTTTTATCATTTAACCATTCATATTAAAATATAACTACAACAACATGCATTTATATTCTTAAAACTATTGTTTTATTATTAGCTGTACAATAGATAATGTAAAAATTGTTGTTCTTATATAATTAAATTCACCAAGGAATAAAAATACGCTTCAAAATGATACCATATACTTTTTTTATATTAGTAAATTTTAATTCAAAATTGCTGTGGCCATCTTGTTTTATCTAAGTTTTCAGCATCAGTCCATATTACCTTGGATAATCAGGGTTCTACTGTATATGAAAATTAAACTGTCTTGAGGTGTATGAACACAGTTTAATTTTCATATAATTCATACATATTGATGTGAGTCTATAATAATTTTTTCAAAATTTATTTTTGAAAGAATAAAATTAGAAAAAAAATGTAATGTGTATAAATACTTTTGTTTTCTTACCACATATGCTTCAGTAAAAATCTGAGCTATGTAAGAATGGATATTCAAATTTTCTTGAAAGTACAAGCTAACAGAATCATCATCTAATCCAGGCAAATATGGAACATGAGGTGATGTTGCAGTACATAATAGTTGAATACATGAATGATTTAACTTTATCAGTAGTTTCTGGCAATGATTCTGTAAACCAACTGAAAAAGATCAATATTTATTAGGAAAAATTAAATTAAATTATAAATTATTCTAATAAAACTCTTTTAATATCTTTTAAAAATAAATGTATGTCTATGTCTATTGAACTAAAATATTTAATTGGTATTATATCTTATTTGAATTCAAAATTCCTGGTTACAGAAGCAACCTTTGAGTAGTTAAAAACTTTTAATATGAATTAATGTTTTCATCTGTATAAACAGCTATCTCAGGTGCCAAACTTTAAACAAAACTTAAAAGACAGATTCTAGAATACATGCATGAATGTGCAGTTATAAAATCAGTAATTAAACAATATCAAAATAATTAAGAAATCACAATTAATAATAATTGGACTGTAATTTTCAGATTGCAAACCTGTCAGGAGATGAAGTCAATTGTTATTTTGTGTTTTGAGCATTATTTTTAGTTATTAGTATTTTCTTTCTGGGGATGTTTTATTATGTATTAATGACGAACTTAAAATCCCAAAAATAAACTAAATTCAAAATTAAAATGAACATTCACTTGCATATGTAATTGATCCCATAACCCTCAGAAATATATAAACAGGCTAGTGCAGCATTACACTTTGTAAGCCAGATAAAACATGATGACACCTGTTCAATGGTAAGATGTAGTTCCCAAAAGCAACCTTGAGTGTACGTGAAGGCAATCTACTTGACCAAATTGTCTGGCACTATTTTTGGTGATAGCTAAGTGTTTAACTCAGTGTTTCCCAACCTTTTTTGTGCTATGCCCCACCTAAGCCTTTCTAAAATTCTCATGCCCCCCTAACATATACAGTGGCTATACCAGGCATGGCCAACATACGACCTGTCTAATGAATTTATGTGGCCTGCGATTAATCTTCCAATATTAGCTACTCAAGTCCGAATAGCTCAATGAAAAATTCTGATGCCTAAAAAAAAAAAAAAAAAGTCCACAACTCATTTTCAAATTGCCCCCCTTAACAATTGAATTGCCCCCTTGTGGGGCGTAGGCCCCACGTTGGGAAACACTGGTTTAACTTGTAAGAGAAGTGTATTCTTTGTTTTTGAATTTAGTTCATACTGGTAGAGATTTTAATTAATTGTATGTCCCGATTGGAAAAAAAAATTTTTTTTTATTGATTTCTGTTTTTCTCTTGTACATAATTGATTTGACTTGTTTTGAATATTTAAAATAATATTTATTTTTACTAACTTCCTGTTCATTGTTCTTGTTTATATATTATAGCTCAACTTAATAAATATTATCGTGGATGTTTTTGCTTACATACATGTCGTATTTGATTTTTTTTCTGTTAAGTCATGGGAATTAAACCACTGTGACCAAAGTCCTTGCCTGGTATTTGATAGAATCCTAATTTTGTGTAACACCATTTTTCAGACTTAGTTTTGATCACATGGTATATTACATATCTATACATTTCAACTGTTCACATCATCCATCCTTTGTTAATCTTGAGAATGGAGTTAGATGAAAATAGAAAAGATCAGATATAGAAAGCTTAGAATCCAGAGACCCCAATTAACTATATATGAACTTCTAGTATGAACCAGAAGTTATGTGATTTTAATTCAAAATTTCTGCCTTACTATACAGAGCAATAAATTTGGTATAGAACTGATTCTTACAATAAACAAAGATCAATAATATAACACTCAACCTTCTAAGGTGTACAATATTAATGTGGTATATTCTCTGTGATACCACATGAAAAGTTGTGTGGAAAATATCATCATCATACAGAAAAAGTAATCACAGTTTCAGATTCAGAATCAAAAGTTATGCTTATTTAAATTAAAATATGATTAAAAATTTCAGCCCAGCATTGTGACAATATCACAGTAATTAATTGCTTGTTTATTGTAGAAATATGTTATTTTGATTAATTAAGAATAAAAATAAATGTATATAATAAATGATGAAGAATTAATTTAAATTGAAATGTTCATTAAGAAGGTTCTTAAACAGGTGAAATATTCTTATTAATGCATTCATTTTTTTTTACATTTTTCATCCTTATAAATATCTATAATACAAGAATTACTTTAAAACTGGATGTATTTAGTATTAATAAGTCCAAAACATCTTAAATTTGGTTCTGATTTTTGGTTTTATCTTTAGAAACATGACAATGACCTTTAGACACAGTCAAAAATGTTTGTTCCATCAATAGATTTTTCTTTACTTGATTTAAGGAGTTTTGGAATCATTGATATCATCTATCATATTTGTACAGATGAAAAAAGTGAAACACATTAAATCATCATAAGAGAACTCATTTTTTACATCTAATCATGATTTATTACAATTCAATTGCAAGTCTAATATATCAAATTAGCTGAAATTTACACACTCATATTCTTACAAATGACATCAGAATGTTTAATTTTGAGTTCAGAATATTATATCTGTAAAATGAATGTATAATGTTTTCCCAAAGAGAGACTTGAGGCAGTTCAAATGACAACGAGTTCAAATTAGTTAAAATTATAAATTAATTTTAACTAACCCAGAGTTAATTTGGATTAAAAAAAAAAGATAAACAAGATAAACAGATGATAAGATTCCATAATCTAAATGTTGATCTCTGTCTCAATTCTAAGATTGAATTTTTTTAATACAAATTTTGATTGTTATGAATCTTTGGTATTTCATAGTTTTCTTTTTTATCCTCAAAAACAGAATTTCATGACAAAAAGCCCAAATCACTTAAACAGGTCCTCTGTTGTTAAATTCTTAAATATGTTGTTTATTCTTTGGGTTCAGTAATTTCAATGAAGTATAGAGCAATGCTGGTGGGAGTATAAACTTCCAGAAGAGCCACCCAAGCCAATAAGGTTTATGGAAAGAAAAAGCAAAGAGTGATCCAAAAGCAGCATGTGACCCAGAGTGAGTGGCTGCTGAACAGTGTCTCTTCCAATATCAGGTATTTTGCACAAATGTCATATATTATACAAATGTCTCAAAACATTAGGGTTTCACAACAGCATATACATCTACTCTATATATTAAACACACGTCACAATCAGGAAATTGTTAAACACAGATACATACACAAAAAGCATGTAAAAAATTTATTTTCTGTAGTTATGCCTTAACTTTGTTGCAGCATAGCACTAAACATTGGTACATATGCTGTATAAAATACATTCAAACAACACTGCATAATAATAAATCTTAAAATAAAACTATCTTAAACATGTCTTTTTAATGTCAGAGTCAATAAAACCCAAATTTTCACTAATTACAGCCTTACTTATTTGCCATGCTTAATATTATCAGTCAAATATCATCATCAGTATAATTGAGTCAAAGTAATTATTAATGAATTCTACTATATACTGTACTAATTTTCCTTTTGGTATGATGTCAAAACATGTTCAAAATTTGTATCATACTGAGATCAAACTAAAAAATATAGCATAAAATTCACCTAAACAATGTGTTTATATACAATGCAAAAAGAAAAATTCTACTCTATAACAACTGAAATTTTCAAGAATGTAAATTAACCTTCAGAAAATTTAGTAACAGATTTATGTTTACTACAATTAAGTGATAATCATTTATAGACAATATACTCTAGAAATATTTTATATAAGTTAGATTGAGTTTTTAATAAATTACATTTTAAAATTATTTTGTACAAAATACCTATTAAAGCTAGATACTTATACTTATTAAGCTATTAAATAAATACCTATTAAGCTACATTCTGATACACTTTCATAATTTAAAATAATTGTTTCCCAAAGACTTTCCTCCTCTATCTAAAAAAAAATTTTTATAAATATATCATTTATAAAAACACATATATAACTTAATATTTAAAATTTTATTATATTTCATATCAAAATTATTACAGTATATATATATAAAAAAATTATATATGAAGTTCACCTATATCTACTTTAAACAATCAAAATAGATTTTGAATATTTCTGCTGTTTTTTTTTTTTTTTTTTTAACTTTTNTGTTGTCTGTACCAAGTGTCTTCCAACTGTGTGTTCTTTGTACTACATTTTGGATGTCATATATGTTTATATACAAGGCATAATTGGAGTCTCATGCATATTTTCTTGTTCCTTTTTGATCTGGTACTTGGTTTGTGTGTGTGACTGAATTGGACTGAAATTGAATAATTAATTTATTACCATTTTAATCTGTCCTAAAACTAGAAACATTTACAAATCATAATCATGGTACCAAGGTTTATACAGTATCTTTTAGATTCGTAAATAACAACTGCTTCTTGGAAACCAAACTGCCAACAACTGCTTCTTGAAATGGAAACCAAAACATTTATTTTACAAAAAAATATTTTCAGCCCATCTTCAGGTTTTTATTACAACTATTATACAAACTTCTTTATATTTTACTATATTCTATATAATTTCTCTATATTTTACTATACCTAAAATAGAATATAAAGAAATAAAATTATATATTTTATTTCTTTATATTCTATTCTAGGTACACACTGCTCAATAGCATAAGCAGAAACTAGCTATTTATATGAGCTTAATTCACATTAGGCATAGGAAGGACAAAAAACACTACTTACACTATCACATTTATTCTGACAGTAGAGTAGCTTTACACAGGATTGCAAAGTCTGATAGTCACTTAAAACTCATCCATCTCATACACCACATCCTCAGAGACTTAAATAACAACATTAGAATAGATTTCCAATAGCTCCAGGGTCATGCAGGGGTATATCTACTTGTTTGGCAAGACGGTCAGCAGTTTTGGCAACGAGACTGCTGACCATCTTGTCAAACAAGCTGCAAAGTCTTCAGTCACAGGGCCGGATCATCGCATAGACAAATGAGACAAATGTCTAGGGCCCGGTCAAACTGTCTATTTTGAAAAGATTTGTAAATAAGATAGATTACTTTTCTGTTGGACAACTGTATAATACTGGTAAAACTGGTAAAATATTATATTATTTAAATATTAACCAAAAAGGTTAAATTAAACAAGTAAAACGGCAAAACCGTATTTGGGACACGACTACGTCTCGGAGACACTACTAAGCGGAATCACTTTGACGCTCAAAGCGGATCTCTTTCTCATTCTCCAATCTTTTTTGGTATCACTGCTTTTGGGCGCGATCGTTGAAACTTCGCCAGCCACGACCACGAGGTCGTCCACCATGCATTTTCGATGAAATTAACCTATCCAATTTCGAAATTTCTCTCCGTTGCGTGTCGGCCCAGGTTGAATTTTTGTCGATGCCTAACGAAAATTTTTCGTCTGAAAAAAATAATCATGGCTATTATATCGTCCGAAATTATTTTTTTTTAATTTTACACAAACAATATACAGTTTAACCTGATTTTAACGTCAAATTTTTACTGGTCCCACGATTTTACTATACTAGACAATGTTAAAAAACCTACTTGTAACGACATAAAACCCTGTTTTAATGTCATATTTGAAGCACTCCCAAATTTACAAAATTAGATTACAAATTTTATTTAAGAAAGAAAATACTACGTGTTCAGTCCTAGGGTCAGAGTCCATTTCCTTGAACGACTGTGGGTGGTACTCTCACCACCTGACTTCGGTTTGCCTGTTTGTAGAGAGAGTCGCCATTTTGTATTTTACTTTCACTCGGTTCTCGGTCCCGAGTACCTACAAGTCAGGTTTTTTTATGCGCGCATGATTTGGGCACTTAATACTCTGTGCCAAATTGCAACTCCTGACATGTACTCCTTCATACCTCTAAGCTGGTAACACAGCAAGCAGTACGATTTTATAAACAAGACATAGTCTTGTTGACAATTATTTTTTTAAGGTAATATTGTTATTTTACAACAACTTTTGTTAGACATTTAATAAAACAAATTTCAATATTTTAAATTTATAAACAAACTGTTCAAACTTTTCTAGAAAAACTAAAATTTATTGTTGTGTATTAAATATTTTTTATTAATAAAAATTTAAGATTTGTTTTAGTTTTTCACATTATTTAGTTTTGTTTTATTTATTGTTTTATATTTTTTGTGTGTTCTATTTCTAGTGTGAGAAAGGGGGGCCCGTAAGAAGAAAATGTCTAGGGCCCCAAAGTGGGTTAATCCGGCCCTGTTCAGTCACTAGTACTTTCAGTTACATTCTTACCTCGTTCATCAACAATCATGTCAAGAAGCAAATCTTCATTCTCTGGCAAGACAGCTACGACCATGACACTACTGGTAGGCTCACTTACACTTTCGTTCCCAAGGTTGACACTACTGCAATTCTTCACCACTTTTACTCTAGCTACACCCTAACTCAGCTGCTTACAGGACACAGCAACTTTAAGCAATACTTGCATAGATTTAACCTTGGGGAACAATCCACAATGTGATTGTGGTATTCAGGAGAACCAAACACCACTTCACTTGCTGCAATAGGTACAATCACATTAGAGATAGTTTAATGAGAGCTGCTATTCTTGAAGAGTACAACTGGCCTTTCAACCCACACCAACTCATTCACACACGTACAATATTCCATCATCTATTTCCATTCATATCCCTTACTGCGGCTCGAGAGGACTCACTCCAGGGGTACGGATGGCAATTAGCTTTACCTTTCCCTTGCTTTGTTTAAACTGTCAGTATATAGCTGTGTTTCAACTTTGTATTTTAATTCTTATTTTCCATCTTCTTTTCAGTCTAAATTTGTTTTGTTTAAGTTAGTCCTAGTTGTAAGTTAGATTAGGAACTGTTAAGTTAAATAGGTTAAGTTAAATTAGATTAGGGTTTGTTAGCTTTAAACATCAGGTTAGGTTCATCCTAGATTATGGTAGATTAGTTTAGTTAGTGAGTAAGTTAATGTTTAAAAAAATAAATAAATAAAATAATAAAAAAATAAAATAAGAATTTGGGGTCTTGCTCATTTGTCTTCTGTNTAGTCCTAGTTGTAAGTTTGATTAGGGACTCAGCTTGGTTTCCGGTTAGGTTACGATAAGTTAGGTTATATTAGATTAGGGTTGTTAGGTTTAGTTTAGGTTTGTTTTGGGTTATGGTATGTTAGTGAGTAAGTTAATGTTTAAAAAAATAAATAAATAAAATAATAAAAAAATAAAATAAGAATTTGGGGTCTTGCTCATTTGTCTTCTGTCAATTCGTTCATCTCGTTTAGTTTGTCATCGTGTTAGTTTGTTTTTTTGCACTGTCTGTCTAGCTGTTAAGTAGTATTAAGATTCGCACTTGTATTCAGTTTTATTAGTATAAAGTATATAAAATTCTTCCTAGTAACAGCCACTTGGCACTAACTTTTACACTTAGCTATTCATGATGGCACTCAATTATTGGTGTTCACTACACTCGGGTTTTCTTTTACACCCTTTGGGGGACCACAACCTTGCAGCATAAAAAGGCACACCAACATCAAACATAGAGGTACGGTAGCCATGTGTACACTGTTCAGAGTGATCCAACCTTTCTCTACTGTATCTCCTCTCCTTCCTTCTTCCCCCTTTCCCTTACCCTCTTTTCCATCGGCTAAACACCTCGTGTACAGCCAATGTCTTTCATGTATGTATGTATATTCTATATATTGTATCTTCTTTATATTCTCTATATATGCCTTTTAAAACATATTACCTTAATGCATTTTAGAAAGCAATTTAGGAGGAGGATTCTATAATGAACTTCATAAAAGATTTTGTATATTATATGTAAAATATACAGAAGTTTGTATAATACTTTTAATAAAATTTGAAGACAGCCCAGATAGGGTTGAAAACATTTTTTTCAGTAAAATACAGGTTTGATTTCCTTAAGAAGCATTTATTTATGAATGAAAGATTTACCGTATTTACTCACATATAAGACGAGGTTTTTATCCATTTTTCACTACTTCAAAAACCTAGGTCAGCCTATATGCATGAGTGAAGATTCTTTTCGTTTTTATATAATTTTTGTAAACTGTGTATTTGCATTTTTTACCAGATTCTCACCTTCTGGTGTTTAAAAACAAAAGTATTTTATCTGGGTTGTTTGAATCATTCTTGTGTATTGTCAGGAGTAAAGATGAATAGCCATAGGAAAAGAAAAGTTTTTGAATCGAATTCCAAAATTACACAAGAGCCCGATATAAGTTTTAATTCATTCCCATGTGAAAACATGATTATTTAGAAATCAGAATTTGAAGAAACTCATAAGTATAATCAACAAAGAGTGAATTCAACTGTTAAGAATTGGCAAAAAAGGTTTCCGATCGTCCAGTTTTACATGAACAAATTATGTTGCCGATTTTACAAGATTTTTGCGGGACAATGTGTGCATTTATGTGCACTTCATATTTTATTTGTTATTAAACGAGATGAAATTAGAATTGTATTAATAAATCTAATTTTCTTTATTTTGATCTTTAAAGTCACACCTTGTCCTATATGTGAGATTGTCTTATATTCAAGTAAATACAGTATATAAATATTTTTTCTGAATAAATAAATAAAGTATAATTATATAATTAGTTTGTATTTTTCTAATTTAATCAATAATTACTCAATCAAAACATAAATAAATCTGTTTACTAACTTAAAATCATTAATAATACAATATGTTCAAACAAAATTTCCCAATATACACATATTTCAAATTTTATTTATTTTACAAAGTATCCTTATAATGCATTTTATAAATAGAAAATAAATAAGCTTTCTTCTTGTAAATTTATTTACTTTTTAAATACATAAAAACTAAAATGTAATCATTCATTTTAGTTTTTATATATTTTTTTTGCCTTGAAATATGCAATACAATAAATAAAACATTAAAAATATTATAATTTTAAAATCACAAAATAGGGTTAAAAATTATATACTTAACCTTTTTTGTAGTTTAAATAAATTTTTCTATTGAAAATCAATGTTATTTCTTTATGATTATTTTGCTTATTAGTCTAGAATAACTAAGCATAATAAATAAATTAATATTTAGTTATATTCCCTCTTATAAATGTAAATATCTTCTACTTGGAATAAGAATTTTATTTAGAAGACAAAGAATGCAACTATGTATTTACTTACCTGTTCCTCAGATAGCTCTGCACAATAAAATGATAAACATTTACTATCCATATTAAAATCTACCCATAGTTCTGAACTACGAGGTTTCTTAACCTGAAATAATAAGTAACTAACTCTCAGATCAAATAATCCATATTATCTATCAACTAATAATTTAATTTCAAATGAAGTGATCAACATCAATTGTACTCAATTAATACTTACACTAAATAATTCACACACTGATATCTTAAATATACTACTACTAAAAATATTGGATTAATTTAATCCAAAAATTGAAAAATAAAAATATAAAACTTAAAATATTACGTATATTCTTAGCACAATGTTGCCGTTGAGAACATATCACACAGGAACACTTTCAGAAGAAAAAGATTGTTTTATTGGTGTGAATGGATATACATTTCGGGCTTAATGCCCCTCTTCAGTCCTATTATTACATATTTATCAGTAAATTGATTACAGGTTTACAAATTTACAGAAGTGTGGAGCCAAAAGAACTTTTAGCTCCTTTTTCCTTTTTCAACTACGTGTATATCTTCTTAACAGTCGTGTTGGTTTAACTGTCACTATCTCAGGTAATTAAGTTTTATAATATAAACCATTGTACGCATATCCTAATTTTTTCAATGCATTCTGTAAATTTGTAAACCTGTTATCAATTTACCAATAAATATGTAATAATAGGACTGAAGAGGGGCATTAAGCCTGAAATGCATATCCGTTCACACCAATAAAACAACCTTTTTCCTCTGAAAGTGTTCCTGTGTGATATGTTCTCAACGGCAACATTGTGCTAAGAAAATACATATAATAGAGAACAACAAGCAATCAAGATTTAAAATATTACCTTAAAGTATGTTTTTAAATTTTATCAAAAAGAATTGTGTAAATTTTTTAAATATAAAACAACACACATGAAAAAGTGTTGTTATGAATGTTTCTATTTTTGAATTTGAATTCAAAAATAGAAACATTCAAAATTCTAATACATCAGAGCCAAATGGAACACTAACATAAGAAAGAAATTTTTTCCAGAACTCTTCCAAAAGAAGGTCCTAGATATGGACTGAAAACGTTTGTAATAACTTTCAAAAATAAGTGCAAAGCATAATAAGGTTGATACATTTTATTTATTTATTCTACTTTTGTAAAATATCATATTTACCTTTTTTTGTTCTTTTAAACCTAATAGTGTGAGCAAGCTGACTAAGAGGGGGAATTTGTTAATTCCACATCAGGAATGGTCTAGGGTCAATTTGCATGTGGGTGGTGGTGATGATGAAATTGAATACACGTCTTTACAATTAACACAGTTTATTTATTCATAGAAGTGGCTTACAACATTTCTTGAAGTAGTTTTCGAACACAGTTTATCTACACGAGAGTTCCTTCTGGGATGAGAATACATCGACAATACGGTATTGCGAGTCTTGGTTTCTCTCGAATGGTGTTGTGGCATTGACTGTAGCCCCGAGGCAGGTATGAAGAGATGTTCATCAGGTTGATAAAAGTAGATGAGAGACTGGTCAAGCACTGGATGTGTAATACATTGTGGCCGTCAGCCATGATATTGTATAGAAAGAAAAAGCAAAGAGTGATATCTTTTAAAAATAAATGTATGTCTATGTCTATTGAACTAAAATATTTAATTGGTATTATATCTTATTTGAATTCAAAATTCCTGGTTACAGAAGCAACCTTTGAGTAGTTAAAAACTTTTAATATGAATTAATGTTTTCATCTGTATAAACAGCTATNGAAGAGATATTCATCAGGTTGATAAAAGTGGATGAGAGACTGGTCAAGCACTGGATGTGTAATACATTGTGGCCGTCAGCCATGATATTGTATATCTTGTATATTTTATTCTGAATTAATCCTAGCCTTCCTTCCTGTTTCTTTGTTCCTTCTATAACCTTCTTATCTAACCCTTTTGCCCTTGGGTAGGATTATCTTTTCCACGTAAATAAGAACAAACGAGGAAGTAGGGCCCTGGGGCAAAACGGACAGAAAAAGAGTCACTCTGAGTAAAGATCCCGAAAAAAGCAGAAGGAAAAAGCGAGTGCTGTGACCTGAAGTTAAGGTTAAGGAGCAGCAAGAAAGAGGAAGAAAAGAAAAGAGACAATTTTGAAAAAAAAAAAAAAAAAAAATTGTAAGGACAACAAATAATCCAAGAAAAAATGAGAATTTTTCGATATTGAGAAGTAGCCGTGTAGACTCTAGTGTGAAAGATATCAAGTTGGCACCATAATCCAAAAGCATATATACATACCAAAAGAAATCCTGGGTATTCCCATTCTCCCTACATTTTGTTTCCGTATCCATCTGTCCTATACTCTTATTTTTCATTAGTTATAAGATAGACATAAGTTAGATGTAAGTTAGTTATATAATTAGTCTTTTTTTTTTGTTATTTTGATAATTGTCATGTGATCCTGGCAATAGTGGAGAACAAGTCTGTTCCTTTTTTTCTTTGTGTATAGAAGAAAGGCATAAAGTTTGTAAAGTTGGGATTCTGAAAAAAGGGGGAAAAAACCATTCTCTCGAACTGGTTCATTCGGAGAGAATAAAGAATACTGTGTGATAATAATTGAATTTCGTATCTTTCTTTTTGTAACTTTTTGTTTGCGGATTTGTATATGTCTCTCACAATGAACAATCACAACATAAAGGAAAGAGCAAAGCAAAGATGGTTTTGTTGTCTGCGTAAGGTGAAACGTGATTTACTAATTGCAAAATGAGGGAGAGACTGTCTCTCCGACACTCTGTCTGAGTTGACACTTGGTGTCTTGACTATCCAAGGGATTTGATACCAAATGCTTCATGTCCTTGAAGACCAGGGATTATATCAATCTCCATCCTCAATTGACCATTCCGATTGGTTGATTTTTCCCATCTACGCTTTCCAAATGGTCGCTCCTTCATTGTTAAGCATAACAGAACCCTAACTTGGATCAGGAGAGAGGTCAAACTCAGAGCTGAATTTGATCTCCCAACCAGAGATGGTCAATCTTGGAACTGCATTCTTTCTACGATTTACAACTTGTCATTGCATTTTATATGTTAAAATGCAATGACAAGTGACAAACAGAATTCTGTGTCTAACATTTCTTTTTCTAAAACAAAATAAAAATTTCTCAAATTTGTTGACAGTTCAGACCTGTCTGGAACTTCAAAACAACATGACCTATGCACTTCAGTGTGACAAAAATGTTATGGTCTAATGATACATAAAAATGAACTGAATGAATGATGAAGTACTTGAAAACCTTACTTCAACTAATAAATTACTTTTTGTCAACTCTGTTGTCCTTTTGTTTCATTTGCTCACATTAATGATGATTTTTTATTTTATTTTATTAAATTTTTAAAATTGTGTAAAAAAAAGTTAGGTGTAATTGTTCTTTGCATCCCATGTTGTTTCTATGATAGCCTTATTACTGTATTGTTTAGTGGGAATGTTGTGTTGTTCAGCATGGTGGTGAAGACATTGAATACACATGCTTTTACAATTAACATGGTTTATTTATTCATAGAAGTGGCTTACAACGTACACATGCCTTGTTAAATTTTGAATGTTTCTATTTTTGAATTTGAATGAATGTTGTTATATTTTGTTTGCAATGCATGAAGTAAGTATTTTGTAGTGTAGGAAGGCATGTGATTTATCTGTATTGTGTAATCTTTGATAATTGTCATTTCTTGGTTTCATGTTTGTAATGCTCTGTGTAAGAAATTTTGGCATGTCTTGTGGATTGTTGATTGTGTGCGCGAAATGTTTGTCTAGTTCCTAGTTGGAGATGTAAATTTTTGTACCAGAAATTGTGAATGTTGTCTGTACCAAGTGTCTTCCAACTGTGTGTTCTTTGTACTACATTTTGGATGTCATATATGTTTATATACAAGGCATAATTGGAGTCTCATGCATATTTTCTTGTTCCTTTTTGATCTGGTACTTGGTTTGTGTGTGTGACTGAATTGGACTGAATAGCAGACCAATAGTCTCTATGTTATTTTTCTGTTGGTGTGCCACTATGCTATGAATGTGCAGTGTTTTGGCATGTAGATTCTGTATAAAAGTACCTCATTGCTTGTAAATAATTCATTTTGTTGTTTTTACAGCATTTGTATTATTTCAGTCTTTGCAACTTAGAGCTAGTTTTTGTTTGAGAGTGTCAATGTATTTCTGTATGTGCATATTGTATTGTTCACATTGTGTGGAGTAAGTGAGTGAGTGTTTGTTTGTTTGTTTTAATTTTCCTGATTATTATTATTATTTAAATAAAATCTTCCTACATAACATCACTTAACAATCCCTAAGTTGTTAGTTCCATCACAGTTGTGATGGATATTATTGTATATTAGTAACATGTTCATATACTAAAGGTGGTCCTCAAAAAATTTCCTGCAAACTTTAGTCTCTAGCTTGCACAGCCTCTTTTTCAATAAATGCTGAAATAATCCAAAATACATTCAGGATAATTGTTAGGTAAACTAAGTATAATACACAGTTAAATCTTCAAGCATTTTTATGATATAAAAAAAAGCAATCACAGATGTAATTTTTGAAGAAAGTTCTTTTTGGCCATTAAAACTATCTTTTGGAAGAGTGATTTTTGTGTTAATGAAATTTTTAATTTAATCTTTATAATTGCATTTCTTCTAATTAAATAAATAAATTCCAATTTATCACTAATTATTCTCATTTAATATTAAAGATATACTACTCACCTCTATGTTACCAAGAATAATTGAATTAGCAATGACAGAATAAACCCTGTACAAATAATTTTGAAATTTAAATTCAGTATAAATATAAAATAAAAGAAAAATTTAATTATAAATAAAATCTCATTCTATTATTCTAATATAAAAATAAGAATGATATTGAATAATAACTAAGAATAAACAAAATCTTTATTTCTAATTATGATATTGAACTAATAATCATCAGATGATATCAAATTATGAAAGAAAGAAAATATATAAGAAGCTATAAATTAAAATATATTTTTATCAAAGTTTGAAAACATTTCATTTTCTATTCCTAAAAAATTTTTAAATGTTTTGATTCTTAAGAATACATACATATTCTAAAAATCAAAATACTTTAAATTATGATTGATTTAAACTGAAATTTGATGACTCCATGAGAAGTATAAATTATGAAAAACCTATTTGAAATAACATGCCAATTTGAATTAATAAAATATTTCAAATCTCAGTACATAATAATCTATATACCAATTCAATACAAAGGAATCTGTCAATACGTGGAAAAGCCAGCCAAGACGAGTGTGTCCTGTGTAGCCCCAAAGAAAATATATATTACAGTAGAACCTCGAAAACTCGTCCCTCGATAACTTAGCACTCCGGATAACTGGTCCACACCTTGGCAGGGCGAAAAAATCCTTAGTTAATTAATTTTCATTATAGACAGCTTTATAAAAGTATAAAAGCTCTCATAAAGTATTTTTCTGAGGTCTGTCTTATCAGGTAAATTACTGTACACAGTGTATTCATTAATTTTCATTTTCATGTAGTGGCTCTATGCCTTCATAAAGGACGTACTTTTCCTTTGTTTAAGGGTATTTGGGCAGTTTATTCTCTGTTATATTCTGTACAAGTAAATACTGTACAAGTACAGTACAGTATTTTCTGAGGAAATACTCGTACTTATTTTTTTTAACCCCATTCCCGATAACTCGGCATTTTCACAAACTCGGCCACCCTTCGGTCCACATTAGGTCGAGTTTTCGAGGTTCTACTGTATAAGTTCAGACAGGAAGGGGATAATTATGGACTTCGTTGAAGAGGAGCTAATATCTACCATTAACTCGTGTTTAGAGACTATTCTTACATGTATTCCTTCCAGTAGCAATATAGCAATCAAAGTGAATGAAAGGGCTATGGCTCATGATGCGGCAGTACAGATGCACACCATGGCTAATCAGCTTTTTGGCGTCATTCTAGAATTACGGCAGAAACAAGTAAATGTAATGGTACAGCCATCTTCTCCTCTCTATGCAGATATAGTAAAGAAAAACTTGAGGCATGCAAGTAAAGACACAAGGCTAATCAACGCTAACTCGGGTGGAGTGGGTGGACAGAAGGGACACAGGATGGAGCCCACAGTTTGATTATCTCTTTGGTGGTAGAGCAGGACCAGACAAAGCCAGTGGCTGAGGAATTAATGACGATTCTTCAAGAGAATATTTCCCTCAAGGAACTAGGCCTAAAATGTAGGAAATATTAGACCGCTTTCAAGTGGAGACATATCTATAGGTGTGAAATCTAATAGAGACATAGAGGTTCTAAAGAAAGCAATTCAAGAAAATACTCATCTTGCAAATAGAATTGTCACAAAGGAAAGGAAAAAGAGATTTCCAAGTGTAATTTTACTAAATCTCCCAAGAGATTTAACTGAGGCCGAATTAATGGAGCACTTATACCTGCAAAATTCGAACATATGTGACACTTACTCTAAGGAAAACTTTTTAAAAGAAAACTCTTTCCAGTACTTTATCACCCCTTGACATAGGGATGAAATTCAGCACGCAGTACTGTCAGTGTCCCCATGGGTAAGACTTAGCCTAATAGAGGCAGGTAGAGTTTCCATAGGTTGGAACACAATACAGGTAGATGACCACATCCCTGTAACACGTTTCAATTGCTGCGGCTTCGGCCATATTTCTAGTAGGTGCGATCAAAAACAAAAATGCAGTCATTACAGGCGTAAACACAGGTTTAAAAAATGCCAGAATCGTCACAATGACCCAAAGTGCTCAAACTGCACCAAATATAATAAGGTAGTTCCAGTTAACGAGTTGTAGTTCGTAGAATGGATACGAACCACAACTCGTTTGTAGCCAACTGCCCATGTCTGAAGTGGTATAAGGCCCAGATCATTGCTAACACTAAATACCATTAGGCTCCTTCAGGTATCTGTCTTGTCCCTACAATGGATACTCGCAACTCTACGCACATTAATCCTGGAAATATGGGAAACCAAATGAAGGATAGGATCAGGATATTACAGATCAACTTACAGAGGTCACAGGCAGCATCTTCCAAAGCCCTACAGATGGTGAAGGAACATGATATTGATGTGCTCTCCTTTCAGAAGCCATATCTTTGTAACAGCAAAACTGCCATGTTAGGTCTGGACAGGACTTTTACTGTCCCCTCTACCAATATTAGAGCAAAAACCAGGCTGATTGTATACAATAAGAAAGTTATTGCCAGCTCATTCAACAGCACTAATGAGTATTTCACCATGATCAAGATCGATATGCAAAATCATAGCATTTACATCATTTCTTTCTATTGCTCCCCAAGCAAAGATCTCAAGCAACCCCTTGGGCTGCTTAGCCATACGATTGAGGATTTAAAGTCCCATCAACTTCTTATCACTGGGGACTAACGCAAAGTCCCATTTTTGGCACAGCCCAGTGGAGAACCCAAGGGGATGATATCTGTGTGAGTTAATAGTGGAGTACCATCTGAAATCCTTTAACAGCAGCACACTGCCAACCTTCTCTACAGACTGGGGGAGAACTGGGTGAACGTCTGTTTGGGGAACCCACAGCTGCTACATTGTAGGGTAGACTGTGGCACCATGGACAAAATATCAGCTAGCGACCACAATTATATTCTAACTGAGATTGATCAATGTCAAATACAGGCTCAGAAAAAAAATTTGTAATCAGACAAACTGGGATATCTTCAGGGGTTTACTTACTAGCATGTGGCTGCAAGACTCAGTCATTAACATCAGGAGTTAGGAAGAGGTTGAAGAAACTGTGCAACAGCTTACAGAGCTAATCTACAAGGTGTACTTTGGGTCTACTAGTGTTAAAATGGTTAGGCAGAACACCCCTTGGTGGAATAAGGATTTGGACAATATGAGGAGGACAGTAAGGAAGTACAAGAGGAAATTTCTGAAGGAAACTGATCCAATAAGGAAAGAACAACAACGCCTGGAATATTTAGAGAAATTCAAGCAATATAAAGCCTCTATTAATAACAACCACACTAACTCCTGGAAGGAGTTCTGGACCAAGCAGTGTGAGGATAACCCTTGGTCCATCCCTTTTTATATTGCTAGAGGCAAGTGTAAGGTGAGTAACATCCTCCCACGATGGCCAAGGATGATGGGACATACACCAACTCCATTGGTGAATCCTACAAGTATATCATGGATGAGCTCTTCCTGCAGGATGATCCTAGTCTGGACAATAACTCACATATGGATATTAGGAAGGATATTACGGCCTATCTGGCTGGCCATGATGATAGGCCTTTTTCTGCTAGGGAAATTCAGAATGAATTTTTAAAAATCAAGAGGAATAAAGCTCCTAGTCCCAATTGTAGGACTTCAGAAGAGGGTCATTTCGAAAATTAACAAAGTAGAGAAGAAGAATTATAAAATTTAAGAGAAAATAATATTTTTAAACTTAAACAAATTTTACAAAAAACAGATGAAACTTCTGTTTTTGAAAGGAAGTTTATTTCCNATTGTAGGACTTCAGAAGAGGGTCATTTCGAAAATTAACAAAGTAGAGAAGAAGAATTATAAAATTTAAGAGAAAATAATATTTTTAAACTTAAACAAATTTTACAAAAAACAGATGAAACTTCTGTTTTTGAAAGGAAGTTTATTTCCTTTCCCAGGCCGACTCATTATGAGTCACATGAGTTTTGTACACATTACTAGAGAGCAAATAAAAGGGACGTTTTCCCGCCATTCAAGGCAGTCCGTTGAAAAGAGGTTGCCACACGAAAAGAGCTCATTATGAGATAAAGGCAGTCATCACACAAAGTGTACGTCATACAAGTCCGTTATATGAATCAGTTAATTGAAAGTTATAAATATATAGCAATAAACGAAATATACGACAAGATTGTTAAAAGAGAAGTTAATTAAAGGACTTTCCAAAGAAACTGTTAGAAGAAGAATACCCAGAATTTAAGAAGACCCTCATACAGAGAAATATTCGAAAGACCTGGTGAAGGTAATATGATCAGAGATAGATTGATGTTAACTCTCTCTCACGCATCAGGTTTAGAATAAGATTAGGTTAAGTTAGTAGAGTAGTTTAGGTTTATTCTTTTGTATATTTTTATATTTTGATTTATTAAATGTTTTGTTTATCACTATAAAAATGGTTTGGTTAATATTAGTTATTCATACTCATTTGTACTTAAATTTCCTTCACTCCTCTTACTCACAAGTTAGGGATAACGCATGTTAATCTGCATGTAAAATAACTAATTAACTGGTGTCAAGGATCCTGACGAGATCTAGAATTCATCCCTTAGATCCTTCTTTTAACATTATAAAAAAGCCCTCCTATAAAAAGACTTAGAGATCAAATCTTGCAATTTTGTGCCGATTAAGTGGTACTAATTCTACAGAGTGTACCCCCAACTTATCTCACACGATAATATCACCTGGAGGATGGCACAGGAGGCTTTTGAGGCCCTTCCCACCACTTTCCAAGTGATTTTCAACAAGTGCTTGGAGATAGGCTACTTTCCAGAAATATGGAAAAGGGCCTCAGTTAAGCTGATCCCAAAGGACCCAAGGAAGACCCCAAACTCCCCCTTGGACTACCGCTCCATCTCGCTTCTTTCCTTCTTTGGCAAGGTCTTAGACTCTGATCATTGGAAGGATTAATTTTCATTTGGACCAGATCAACTTCATCCATCTGCTCCAATTTGACTTTAGTAAGGTGAGGAGCATGGTGAGTGCACTGGATAACCTCGTTGATTATATCAATAAAGCAAAAAGTAAAAAAGAAGCACACTTTGATGGTGGCCATAGACTTCAAAGAGGCCTTTCTGAAGTCTGCACAAGAAAGAAATTCTGCATCAGCTTCAAAAGTCTGGTTGCCCAGGTAATTTGTACAAGATCATTAACAGCTACCTGGAGGATAGGAGTGTGACAATCTCAAATAACAGTAAAATATACTACCATAGGAGCATTAATAGGGGATGCCCTCAGGGCTCAAAGTCCGGGCCTTTTCTTTGGAATATTTTGTATAATAGCCTCCTGAGTATACAAGAATATCAGCCTAACAACACCATGACCCAAGGGTATGCGAACAATACCATCATTTTAATGTCCCAATCAAATCAAGGGAAGTTGCAAACAGATATGAACCACCTTCTGATGCTGGTCCATGAGCGGAGTGAGAAAGTCAAGCTCAAAATTAATTACAAAAAATGTCAGTGTATTGCCTCCCCAAAAGTAACCCTCTTAGCATGGGCCCATCCATCAAAATAAATGGGCAAAGGATTGAGAATGTGAGTGTGATCAGGTATCTGGGGTTCTATTAAACCATAAGCTTCTCTGGAAAGAACATATCTACCATATCTATAAAAAAACAACAAGGATCACGTATGCTCTGGCTACTATTTGCAGGAATAAATGGGGGCTCAGTTATAGGGCAAGGAGGATCACCTATAAGGCAATCACCCAGCAAATTGCAACCTATGGCTGTGAGGTCTGGGGCTATTGCATAAAGAAAGTCCATATCTGGAGGAAGCTGCTTTCTTTGCAGAGGCTTTCGGCAATCCACATTGCCAGGGCCTATAAAACTGCCCCCACAAATGGACTCCTTGCCATTGTGGATCTCATTCTGATTGACCTGCATATTGAGGAAAAGTTTCTAATTCACAACCTTAAAAGGCTTCTGGGCAAATACATCTCTATGGAGAACCAAAAGGAATATCAAATGCCTTGGTGAAGGTGATGGCATCAGCAATATTACCAATTTTATCCTTAAATTAAGAAAGGGTTTGACAGGGATATTAATAGCAATCCACACCACTCAGCTACAACCTGCAGTTATAATGTCATTCTCAATAACCACTACCTTGGGGAATTATTTATATGGATGGTCAGAGTCAGACAATGGCATTGGTGGGTCCTTTGTCATCTGCAGTAATGATAATGACTTCCACTACCAGAATTATTTCAGGTTGGACAATCATTGTACAGTTAAACAGGCTGAGTCCCTGGCCATCCTCAGGGCCCTCCAATGTATCAGGAAGGAATTTGGCAAGCCCAAGAAGAGGCATCTAAATATCTTTAGTGATAGTAAGGTTGCACTGTTACAGATAAAGAACTCTAATGTAAATCTCCCTATTGTTAAAAAAACTATTGATTCTCTAAATTCACTCCAGAATATCTTCAATATCACCTTATTCTGGGTCAAAGGGCACTCGAGATTTGGGGGAATGATCGAGCAGACCTGCTAGCTAAGAAAGCCACAGTTAACCTACATAGTTATACCTATACGAAGGTCTCCCTTAGCTGGTTAGTCAAGCAACTGAGGGCCCTCACGCTCAACAAATGGCAGCATAAGTGGAGTAACAGTTCAACAAGAAGGGTCATTCACTGATTCCTTCCAGTTCTGGCTGACAGGAAAAAGTACACATACTTCACTCCGTCTTACAAACTGACTCAAATAACGACAGGATATGGAAACCTTAAGACCTACCTTACATGGTTCTTGAAGAAAGGTGAGGGGTACTGCTACTGCCCACTCAGGGAGAAAGAAGATAGTTACCACATCATTTTCTACTGCCCTAATTACCTCCAGGAAAGAAAACATCTCATCAACGTGGTGTGTAAGGAGATCATCATCTGGCCATGTACTCCGGACTTGTTAATCAGCAACAAAAACATTTTCATGGCCTTCAAGAACTTTATCCTCAAAATTAAAATACTCAGCTAATGTAGCCACCCTTGTGTGGGCATTGACTTTCTTTGATTCCACGTGTATCAGTATTGGATTCTGTGTCATTTAGCCATTGTGTTTTGTCGGTTTCCTTTATAGCAGCTCCTCTCGGGTTTAAAATTGTTTTGTACTTGTTCAGGATTTACTCTGGTTTTCTTTTTGGGAAATTACAATTATTTCTGCTCATACTTTCAGGGTATTTTGCAATCTTGTTCTATTTTATGTATGTACATGCAGTGTCTGTACTTTGTTATTGTATTACTATGTCCATGTTTATTCTGTCAGCACAGTGCATTGGCTACTCTTTAAGTAACGTTAGGCACACTCCTTTTGGTTGTAAACTGTTTCCAGCCTGGCATCTTGAGATCTCTCCCACCCTTTTCTTTTCACCTGTCCTTCCCCTGCCCTCCTTCCTCTCCTTTACCTTTATTCCTCCATTTATCTTTGGCTTTATCCGTGGGTAAGACCACCTCTCTCTCTCTCTATATATATATATATATATATATATCATCGACAGGCAAGATAGTAGGCTGAGAAAAGCAAATAAGTTTTTCTTAGATAAAAAAGAGATAAGCATTGTTAACAAAGATACTTGTTTGGGAATTTGATTATCCACTACGGGTCCATTTACAGATTACATTTCTTATGTAAAGGTTAAAGCTTACTTTAAAAATAAATACAGTAATTGATATTCTGGGAAGGATGAAGAATAGCCACATGGTCCTTTGTAGAAACTAGCAGCTTCCTTATTTACTTCTAGTTAGTCTTATTGTCTACCCTTTTGGGAGCCTTTTTGTTTTCAGGACATCAACTCTAGCTAGTGAGTTGATGTTCTTCCATGGTCTTTTTGGCCTCAAGAGGTTGACCCCATCATACACAATTAGATCGGAATTGCACCTAGATTTTCCCCAAAAATATTTTGTTAAATTAACCCTTACCTTTTTGAAAATTATTATTTCTGATGCATCCTCTATGGAATATGTAGCAAATTCCACTTTGAAGAAACTGTCATCAAACAGACTATTAAAAAAATTGTTGGTACAGTAATACCTCGACTTACACTACCACGACTTACGCAAACCCGGAGTTACACGATTTTCAAATCTCATTGATTCGTTTTTTGTTTGAGCACCATGCAACTCTTGATCACTCACTCCCCCCCACACTATTGTTCAGCTTACATGTTCGGATGTGTCATGCGGAATCGACGCATAGCTACAATTTATTTTGTGTTATTTATTTCTGTTTGTTATATCTACAGAGACTTGAGAGCCTCTACTATGTCATCCAAATGAAATAGAACTGATTCTTCTGCATCAAACAAAAAAAGAAAAACTTTATCTTTGGAATGTAAAGTTAACATTATTAAAGATTTTGATACAAAAATGAAAATTTGTGAATTGGCAAGGAGTTTGATCTTTCAGAATCAACGGTCAGAACAATTATAAAAGGCAATGAAAAAATTCTCAAAGCTGTAAAAAATGCTCAATCTTTAAATTCAAGCATCACTCGTAAACGTCACGGTATTATCCCTGAGATGGAAACAATGTTAAAATTATGTTCTACGTGATAATCAAGTAAATGTGAAAAATTGTAAAATAATATAGGCCTAATTTGTTATACATATGTATTATCTAAGATTTTATTAAACATTTTTTTCTAAATTATTGTTTTCTTTAGTCTCTGGCCCCAATTAAAAATTATTTGTATGTATTTATATGCGAAATTATACCCCAACTTACGCGGTTATCGCTCGGTCCCACCTATCACGTAAGTTCGGGGTATTACTGTATTCTAAACTGAAGAGAGTGCTTAACAGAATAGGTTTTTCACCTTCTCTGACTGACTTATCCCCAGATGTTATAAAATTTTAACAAACACTATCCTATGTGAATTTGATAATCTTTTTTTTAGAGAAGAAAGAGATAGGATACTCAAGGCCAAATACCATAAATGGTACCCAGAAATACTAGATAACTGTTAGTGTCTATATATATAAATATCATTAACATCTGACATTTATTGTAAAGAAACCAATTGCTCCGATTTGACTAAACAAGTATCATTTAGTATGGAAAAACTGTATGTAGACTTAAGTTCATCAGTTATTTGTGTTTATTGTATGCAGGGTAGCGCAACCCTGAATCATTATTTGTTTGATGGTAAGAATTTGGCTCATCTTCGTTTATCAACAAGTATTAGTAGTGTTATTTGTAAGGAACTGACTGATAAAATTCATGAATTATTTTCTAACAATGATTCAGTTGAGACTGTTTGACATAAGTTTAATTTACTAATCAACGTTATCAAATATGTTACCCCTCTTCCTGAAAATTGATTTATGTATGCAGTATTTAAATTAAATTAAATTTAAGTTTAAAATTAATTTGCATTTGTAAAAAAATTTAATTTGTTATATTTTAAATTTACTTGCCTTCTATTATCACCCTGATTTTCATTAAGTAGTAAAAGAAATTTTCTACAATCCTAAAAATAAAAATTGTTAATTAAATATAAAATTAACATTAATTTTAAAATTATTAATAGGTGAATGTAAATTTTAAAATTTCATTATTTTGCTTATGTGTAGTCATTAATAAAAATACATTAAATTTAGAGGTCAAATAATTTTTAAATTCTATACAAAAATATTTGAACTGTTAATCAAATTATCCAAAATGGTTCAATAAAGTTTTAACATGATTTTAATTTTAATGTTTGCCCAAACAAAAAGTAATAAGGATCATACCAAATAGTTCCATTAGTAATTCCGTAAAAAAGGACCAGAAAAGGTAATTCAGAGAGCCTACATTTGCCTTATTTGGAAAATACCAGGGAAAAAAATTAAACAACATTGATACATCATAAGAAAATTACTAAATAACAAATGTGAAACATCAAAACATATCTGAAAACTACACACAGTTTTATCAGTGATTATATATATAACAGAAGAAGCAATTATTGAATAATTGCTTCTTTTACATAAAGTAAAATTTATTTTGCAATATCTTTATATACACTTGTTTTGACATATTTTACAAAAATATTAAAAATTTCTCTTAAATGATGAAAGTAATTTTTAATTCTGTAACAAAACAACTTAAACTAATATATTTTAAAAGACAATAATCATATTTCAAAGAAACATTGAAAATAGATGGGAATTAATATAAATAAGATGTTTTTGTTGTAAAAGTCAAAGAATCTGTTAGAAATCAATTAAGGTCAAAATCAGTAATTTAATATAGGTATATTGAATGTTATTTGAATTATGTAACTGCCCCAGAGCAACAGGGCTTTTCCCTTTTGCTATTAGACTGATAATTAATAATAATTAATATAAATAAGATTTTTTAATTAAATACTTCTAAATAATTTTTTAAATATTCATATATCGTTAGGTTTATGTTGCAAAAGATAAAGCAAATTACCAGTATTTGGATGAAGGACACTAATTAAATGGTAACAAATATCACTAGTTTGTTACCATTTAATTAGCAAGTTTCACTTCATTATTTAGATCACATGTTCTTAACAATTATCTTATTAACTTACTATTCACAAAATAGAAATAACTAAATGTGAAGTTAAATGAATGTTTTCAATGGCAGATTAATCTGTAGATAATGACATTACATAATGACATTACATAAAAAGTTCATTTTAGCAAACCCATAATTGTTTGCTAAAATGAACTTTTATGGTTATTTCAAAGAAATCTGTATACTTTTGTAAATTTTTCCATAAAATATGATGGAATTTGTTCATAGAGAAGTATATAAATAAAAAAACATTTTTTGAAGAAACATTGAAGAGGAAAAAAGACAAAATTCAATGGCATTGTGAATCCAAACACACATCTGCACACAGATACAATGGACTGAAAGTGCAACAAACAAAATTTCCATTTTATTCATAAGATTTAATTAAATTTTTAGAGTATTTTCAGATAGAATAATACTTTTAAAATTTATGAGTAAAAACATCTTTATTTTCAATCTTGAAGAGTTTGCTAAAAATTAATTTTATATGGCTTTAGTGATTACAGTAACAGAAAATATATGTACTGTAGAATAAAAAAATAACTTAATACAATTGTTGTTACTTCTGTTTTTGAAAACGAATATAGATATATCAGAATCTATCTATTTAATAATTATAGCTTTGAAGTTAGATAATAAAAGATAAATATACATTTCTGAATTATCAGTTGAAATATTAATTTTGTAAGTTTAATTCACTAAATGAATCATTTGCTGTTTAATCTTTAGACGTTAATTGTAAACTCGTATTTCATCCTTATATAAAATATATTATTTTTTATAACACACAACCCCTATAACACAGGTTCATATAAGACGGATTCATATAACACGGTGAAAAAATTGTGATTGTGTTCGTATAACACGCTAAAAGAGGCTTGTATAACATGGTAAAAGAATAAGACAGATTGTCACAGCCGACTTGTGTCTCGACAGGATTGGTCAAATCTGGACCAACAGCGGACATTGCACAAACTGTTGAGTTTAAACGTGCAGTGGACCTACTAAAAAACAATTATTATTCAACAGCCATAAAAATTATATTTCTATTAATGATATCTCCAAAATTCAGTGAATTTTTTGCAAAAAAAAATAACTTATCAGGAAACACGTGACCGCCATCCAATGAGCCGCTCCATGACAAAAACAAGCTTAAGCAATGACGTCTTCAAACAGTGCACACTCATTAAGTATTCCTACAATTTTTTGTTTATAGCGTAGTTTATATGGATTATTCCCAAAAAATTATACATGTTTTGGAAATGTTCAAGTCAAATTAGCCTAGAACCGATTAATTTTATGGAAGAAAACCTTTCAAACAGCCATACCCCCTAAACTGCACAAGTGCCAGGCTGTGAACAGCTCATGTATTTGTAAAATCTAAGTGACTCGCACAACACGGAATTCATATAACACGGAATGTATCTACTGTGTTATAGGGGGGTCTACTGTAATAATGAAATTTCTGAGATGTAACTACTTATGCAGTTCAATATATCTTAAATAATACTATAAGCTGAACAATCTATTCTTTAAATTAATATGGTTTCATAAAAAAAATTGTATTGGTATATTCAAACTTTAACTCCCATACTCTCAGTGCATTCTGTGTTTCTATAAGCCAAAGAAGTTTTGAAGGAATTTGTAAGAATTGTAAGAACTTTGAATTATCAGAATTCAAAATTTTACGATTTCAAAGCTTTATTTCTTCCACTTCAAGTTATCAAGAGTCTATTGTATAACTAAAATTATTTTTAAAATTATTATAAGTTATAACACAAATATGAGTGTTCCCTGCTTTTGGCATCCAACTTCAACATTTTGTCAGGATTAGGTCACCAAAGACAATCATGGGTAATGCCCCTTATAAAATAAAATCATTGATTCCATTGTTGATACTCACTATCTAACTATTTTAAGTATATTTTAAATATATTTTAAAAAATCATTTAATTATAAACTTTATATTATTAACATACCACTTCAAACTGCAGTAAATTAAATGACATAAATACAGAATATATGCTTTTATTCGGAAACCATTCTTTTGCCCAATTATTTCTGTTAGATGCATCAGTACATCTAAATATACATTCCAAGATAACAGCTTGTGCTTCAAAATCTAAACAAACAAAAAGAAATTAAATTTTTAAAAATTATTATAATATAAATATCTTTGCTAATACTAAAAAAATCCAGCAATGAGTTGCTTAACTTTTCTAGCAACATTTGGTGGTGCCATATGTTGTTATATTTTATTGAAAACTTTTTATATTTTTAACTATCATAAAATGGCAAAAAACTTAATTTTGAGAGCAGGGATGGGTTTTATAAAAAATTGTAAATGCTAATAACGAGTAAAATCGTCATTAAGTCTGCCCTTACTCAAGGTATCACACATGATCCCTTTATCTCTCCATCCCCTCAACCTTTAATCACCAAAATTCAATAGCATCAATCCCTCTAATAAACAAATCTCCATGTAAATTTTCAGAAATTTTCGACAAAAGCACAGGAGTTATTAAGCTTGAAACAGGATGAACAAAATCATGCATCACACTAACACCCATATATACAAACATAAATTACCCCTGAATATTTTTGCATTTCTCAATGTTTCAAGGTGTCCAGAGTACAAAAAAAAAATCTTGGGGGGGTCATTTTTTTGACAGATCACCATACTTTCCCTCTTATAATAAATAACAGTCAGGAAAATAAAAGTTGTATACAGAATACGAGCAGTAATTACAACTTTTATAGATAATTTGTTTAGATTTATGCCATTTGCATAGTTTTGTGCATGTTATGGCATTTCCTACAAGTGTAAATCAGCCAGCATTTTGATGCAGTTTTGTCCACATGATCTTAACATCATAGAATGTCTATTGTAAAGTCCTTCCAAGCCCAAGGCTGCCTAATGGTATCTGTGTTAGATCATAATCTGTACGGTGCAACATCCTCTCCATATGAAAAAATTCAATCTTTCTGTGGAGAATTTAAAATAGTATTTGTTATTTTGTTAGCATTATTCATGTTTCTTTTTAGAATTGCTTAGTTCTGTGGGTTCAATGTATAACTCCAAATAAATCTGTGAGTACTGAGACCATGTATGTGTTTATTGCTTTAAATATATGTTTTGCATTCAACTGTGTTTGTTTGTATTAGGTTTAATTTGTTGTTGTATTCCATTGGTAGTCTCTGATTTATTTGTGAATGTTCTGTGAGTTTGACTTATTAAAATTCTAAATATTTGTACACTCTGTCCACATAGATGGATTCATTGTTGTCTTCACTTCAAGTGCATAATCATCCTTCTTCTAGATCCTTTTTCTATATGAAGTGTTTTGCATTTGTCCAAACTATGCCAAACTCCATTCGTACAGTAATCAATTAACTTTTTAATAATTAAATTTTTTTAATAAGTGATTTAGTTATGCTTATGTTAATGTGTAGAGTTTTATGCTATTCATGTACTTGAGGTTGCATTGTTTTATTGTTTGATGTATTTATATTGTGTATTGTTTTACCTATTGAACAGTGGGTTTAACTCTAAATATGAGATCAGCCAAAATTGCTTTAATCCATTTAAGACAAAGTTGGCTGAAGGGAAATTTGTTTGACTGGTTTTGCTATACAATTTCCCCTTGTAGCCTGATTGGTGAAAACAATTTCGTTTCCAGGGACATAGAAAAGAGAAATTTTCAGAGCTCAAAAAGTTAAAGTTGCAGAACCAGAGTAGACTTAATTTATCTTCTTTAAAAATGCTTTGCTAAACTTCTTATGTATATGTCTCTTTAATATATATATTTTATATATAATATATTTCATTTATTTTGTCTGAGGTGTAGTGTTGTTTTCCAGTACTACATTGCATTTTATAGTGTGTTACATAACTATGAATTTGGGATGCTGCTAAATGCTTTTCTATACTCTATATATGCTATGTATAGGTTTCTGTCTTGCGTTCTTGCCATAGAATAACAGACTATGAGTAAACATTCTTTGCATCCCAGGTGGTTTCTATGATAGCCTTATTGTTATTCAGTGAGAATATTGTGTTAATTTTCTATGATTTCGTAGCTATCTATTCATTCTTATGTATATGTCTCTTTAATCCAGAAAAATTCCAGTAGACTACCTTACAGCTTCAAGGTCAGGAACATTATTTATTGAAATATCATGTAATCTGATATTTCAATAAATGATGGAATGCATGAAGTGAGTATTTTGTAGAGTGTAGGAAGACATGTGATTTGTCTGTATTGTGTAGGATCTTTGGTCTTGTTGTGTTTGGATTTCATGGATATGATGTCCTGTGTAAGAAATTTTGCCATGTCTTATGGATTGTTGATTGTGTGTGTAAAATATTTGGCTAGTTCCTGGTGCATCAATGTAATATTTTGTACAGGTGTCTTCCAACTGTGTTCCTTGTATTGTTATATGCCATGTATGTTTATTTCAATGCAAGACATGATTGAAGTCTCATGCATATTTTCTTGTTCCTTTTTGATCCAGCATGCTTTGTTTTTGTGTGTGTCTGAAATGGACTGAAGAGCAGACCAATAGTCTATGTTCTTTTTCCTGTTAATATGCCATTCTGTTGTGATTGTACAGTGGTGGTTTTTGCATGTAGATTTTATAGAAAAGTACCTCATTGTTTGTGAATAATTATTCTGTTGTTTTCAAAATGGCGTAATAAAATATTTAAGTACAATAGAGTGTCGGTTATCCGAAATGTCAGTTATCCGAAAGAATTCCAGTTGGCAAATTTAAATTTTCACTAGTGCTGTGGCGCTGCAATCTTTGGCTATATCTTGGGCTATTCCAATATTTTTCTTGTTGATGTGTGTGTTTTAGCTGGCAGCACTGGCACTTTTGTGTGGTGTTTTTCTGAGGACTGTGTCATGCTGAATCGAATGTTTTTGATACTAGATCAACTTCTAAAGTATTTTTGTTTTTATATTTTTCAATATATTTATTTTGTTTGTAAAAAATAAAAAAATAATTTTAAACAATACAATAGCCAAGATTATTATTTTAAAAAGTTTACATTAGGCTTAACATCGATGAAAATTTAACGCAAAGCGACAAGCAATGGAGAAAAATTTCAACACGGGATAGATTAATATATTTTTTTGTACATAATCGGTTATCTGAAAAATAAGTTATCCGAACAACCCGAGTCCCCAATTGATTCGGATAAACAACACTCTACTGTACTATTGTTTCAAATTATATATACACACACAATCACACAAAGGCTGTTTCTTTTTCAACCTCTGATGGTCCATAAAACAATGACAAATGTAAATAACAAAATGAATTTATTACCAAAAGTTAGGTACAAACATGGTTACTTTTTGACGTAATCACCGTGAANACATTAAAAATAACTTACCTCCAAAATATGGTAGTTTATTGCACAAATAATGGCTGTATAAAAAAAAAATTTATGTATAGTTTAATGTTTCAATGATATATTTTATAATTAAAAGATTTTATACAATTTTTTTATTATGTATTGTATTAAATTTAAAATTTATTTTTAAAAAATAATCTTAATTAATTTCTTTTTTATTTAAAAATTAAGACGTAGTCACTTCCAAAAATTCTTGGGTGAACCCAAGAATTTTTGGAAGCGAATACATCTTAATTTTTAAAGAAAATTTTATCATCCAGCAAAAATTTAAATCTTAATTATTCTTAAATAAATATGATTCAGTCTTAATAAATACTGTGTTCCAAAAATCAGTTTATTGAAAATAAAAATTCCCAAGAAAGCATATTAATATTTATTTATTTATGACATCCAATTTTTATTCAATAGGTATTAATTGTTTTATACAATTCTGATCTAATATTTAATAGATGCAAGTTTTATATAAAAATCTGCTCCAAAACTCTATGAAATAATTAATAAGCATTGAATAACAATTAAATTAAGTTGCCAAAAATAAAAAACAATTGTATCATAGAATTAATTCAAGAGAAAACATTTTTCTTGATAAAGTGATTTTGGTAAATCTTGTATATAAAAAGGAATTATGTAGTATATTATGCACCATTATCATATATAAACATTGCAATATTATAAATTTACATTGCTAAAGAAACAGAAATAAGAAAACTGATCAAATTATTAAAAAAGCATTCATAATATTTGTGAAACATAACATGCTTACTGGAACTTGAAAATAATAAATATTTTCTTAAAAAATTTTGTAGTAAATGTATATCTTATTAATCCTTCAGAAACTGAAGTGTTTTCCTAAAATGCATATAATTTTTCAATTTCCCAAATTCAGTACTTATGAATATTCACTGTTCAATTTAAATAAAAGTGTATTTCTATATTGTAAATATATCACAGAACTGATGAGATAGCAATAACAGTTCAAAATATTAGAGATACAATAGGAAAAATTTTATAACAACTCTTTAGCCAACTGAAAAGTCAAAATAACATACATTTTGTGATTACTAATACTATGCATACTTATAAAACAATTTTTCTTTATAGCAAAAATTTTGAAAACTGTTACTCAAACAAATTTTATTCCAATTAAAAAAATATACATTTGATTTAAAAAAAAGGTTGCTGGGACAAATAAGTTTAAGCTTAAAAATTCCCAATAGAAACAATACATAAAAAATGTGTCTTCAAACTGTTCCTTTCATGCATATCAAGAATTAACAGTCTCAAGGTGAAGTTAACTTTCCTTTAGAGGCTACTAGTCTACTTTGAAAACATTTTATATGTATTAGATATTGATGAAAAATAAAAGTAAATTCTTATATATCTTATAATAATAATAAAATTTTTACTGTCTGTTGGCATTAAATAAGCTTTTAATCTAAAATTAACAAGCACTTTTGACAAATTCAAAATTGTCTTCTTCAGGTAAAGAACAATAGAATATGAATATGTTATAATGTTCTAATAGAATGATTAATAGCTATGACATATTAGCTAGACAATTAAATGTGTTAACAATCTTGTCCGCAGATCTCTATTTCCACCTATGGCTTTATACTCCAATGTAAAAAATAAAATATCAAAAGTAGAATTTGCACAACCAGCTATTCCATATTTGGGTTCTATTACATTACATATAGCGCATACCTTCAAAAAGCATGCCATAACATTACCAATTAAACCACAACCGTCCCTGCGCAGAATGTTATGCAATGATAGAGATTGCTGGTCATTATTAGAAAAATCAGGGGTATACTTGATTCCTTTACAAGCTCAAACAGGAGCAAAAATCTTTTACATAGGGGCAACATCCAGAAAGTTAGAAAACAGTCTTCAGGAACACAAAAATGATATCAATAATTGTAGAGCTACTATTGATCTTGCCAAAAATGTCTTATAAAATAATTACCATTATGGGCCAACCTTAAACTAATAAAACCATGTTTAGACAATAGAATCCTTTACTTATGGGAATCTTTGTGTACAACAACACACAAAGCTTGTAATAAACCATCTCTTGACCTTGGAGAACTTTGGATCAGTCTATATGATGCTTTAACATGTTAATTTTCTTATATATTTAGATTTCTGTTTCTTTATATTTTCTGTGATGTTGATTTGTATATGTTTTATTGTTTATTATCTGGTGTTATAGCAACCTATGGACAATCTATATGATGTGTGTTCTTTATGTTTTTTACTTTTTCTTAATAGTTTAATTTTTATATGCTTCTAAAATGTATTTTATACCTACTTCAAAACATTGACGTGTTATAATGCTTAAAAAACAGCTAATACATAATAGCTATTAATCATTCTATTAGAATGTTTTCAGTGACATATTCATTTTCTATTGTTCATTACCTAAAGAATACAATTTTGAATTTGTCAAAAGTTCCTGTTATTCTTAATTTTAGATTAAAAGCTTATTTAATGCCAACAGACAGTAAAAATTTCATTATAATTATTTACATGTATTTTCTCTATTGAAAATTTTTAAGTTTAAACCCAGCAACTTTTTTTTATCAAATGTATATTTTTTAATTGATTGTACCAGAGGAATGATTTTAACGTTTTACACATTGAGGAAGATGAGTAGTCTCTAAAGAAAGGTTGACTCCATCATGAGACTGTTAAACATGTCATGGGAAACACATGTACATAAGGTCTCATTATTTGAAATCTTCTCTTACCATTCGATTTTATGTTTGAATTTTAAGATCCAGCTTTTTTTGAATTGAAAAAAGCTTGAAGAAGAACCCAGATGGGGTTATGAAAACATTCGTTACTCAAGTGTTAATCATAATTCACACTGGTTAATGGTTGATGTGAGTCTTATTTTACAATTTTAATTTACATGTATTTCCATATATTTTCTCATTGTTATGACAAAGGTACTTTACAGATATACTGAGCAAATTTTCAATATATATACAAGCACAAACATTCTTAATTGTTAAAGTAGTGAAAAATGCAATACTAAATTCTTGGAAGTGATAAAACTGAAAGGGTTACTTAGTTTTATAACCACTGGATAATTAGTTTCACGGCCTGCAAGAATTACAAGCCTATTTATCACTTAACTTTCTTTTTGGAGACCATCCCCTCTTTCTTGACTAGCTTCCATCTTACTCTGCCAATTTACCTAATCATCACTACAATTGTAAAATTACCATATACTCTAGTTAGAAATTGAATCCTTATATGAGAAAGATGTCTGTGAAAAAAAGAAAATGTTTCTCAGTTTATGAGAAACTAGCAGACCCTGCCACGTGTTGTTGTGGCTCAAAATGTATCTATTATAAATGTATAACACTTCCCCCGTGGGGGGGAATTTTTCGAAAAATTTCTTCTTAGTATACATTCTCTTGACGTACCCTATTAAAACGCAATCAAAAACGCAAAAACCCGCATCTAAAATAGTATAAATAGAAGCAGAGTTCTTTATCATAAGCCTTAATCCTAACCATCTCCCTTCAGTGGGGTTGAATTTCGACACGTATATTATATAAAAACACGTGCGTATTCGAATGCAGCGTTGTGTCAAAATTTCAAAGGAATCAGTAGGAACAAACAAACATTACATTTTTATTTCTATAAATAGATAGAAGATGATCTGCTTTAGTTCATTTTCACAGAAAAGTGTAATGCCTTGCAGAAAAGCAAACTTAGGGCGTTGTACTCGTAGCGCCATCTGTTGGACATAAAAGCCTTAACCTAGATTATATATTTTAATTTATATGAATGTTTAACGGAATAATATACAGCCTATGTCCACCCTGAGGTTCCATTCTAAATATTGGTGAAAGAATTTTTGAAATCAGATGAGTAGTTTCGGAGATTACCTGCTGCAAACAAACTTACATACATACAAACATTACCTCTTTATAATATTAGTATAGATTAGAAATTATTTGAGAGTTAGAATGTGCTGCTAAAAATGTTGAAGTGTGTAGAAAGTTTGATTTGTCATCTTTGACAGTATCAACATTATTGAAAAATAAAGCAATCATCAATTTTAGGATTTATAGATAAAAATACTAACTGAAATTGGGCATATTATTAATTATCTTTATAGAGTGGGTGATGTTAGACTAGGTGTTGCTTGTCGGAGAGATTAGTAAAAAAACAGTTGGATTAGCATAACCAGTTGCGTAACAAAGGAACAAAAAAGTGCACAAAGATTATGCACAGTCTTTACTCACGGAAGGTCAGCGCTAGAAAGGGGAGAGTGAAATGAGGTCACCTTCCCCAAGGGGTCAACAGCACCATCAACCTTTTATTACGTCAGAAGAACATTACAAAACATCGCAATCGTTGATTCTAACACACCCCCTCAATGATTGATCGTTAATACAATCCAATAGCGCGGACCTAATTTCTTATTTCTTAATCTTATTTGCATCTAGCAGCTTTGTTAACAAGTTGGCTGTCATCCGTTCACTCGAACAATAGATTACAGTAATTTTTCCAAATTCTTTAAATCACGTACAAAATGGTATTTTGTGTCTATATGTTTTGTCCGCTGTTGTGCTTTTCCTAATTCTAAAAGTTGAGTACAACTTTGATTGTCCTCAAATATTTTGATAGGGGTTGTAATTGGTAGATTTATTTCTTCTAGAAGTTGTTTCATCCATACAGTTTCTTGAGTAGCTTCTGCCAAGGCTACATACTCTGCTTTGGTGGACGAAAGTGCTACACACTGTTGCTTTTTACTAACCCAATGGATAGGACTTCCTTTTAGCAAGAGCAAATATCCCGTGTTTGATTTGAGGTCTATACGATCGCCTCCCCAGTTGGCGTCTACAGAACATTTAAGTTCTAATTCTTCATCAATACTTCCTAATTTAAGTTTCTTCTTTTTTGTCAAATTCAGATAACAAAAGATTCTTTTTACTTCTACCCAATCACTTTCTGAAGGTTTTGTTATTTTTCTCGCTAATATCGATGTACTTAT